CTCCCAAAAAACATGTGCATTGCCTCAAGTCAATGTATTTCTTTTAAACTCCATAGAAACACTTCCTATTTTGGGATTTTTTGTTTAAACTGAACTGAAATAAGTCCTAAAAGAAATCCAGTTTTGAATGAGAACAAAGTATTAGAGATGGTAACAATCTACACTTTGGCTTATTCTACAGGTTAGGGGGGTTTTGTCAAAATTAGGGTGGATTAGAGCAATGTTTTCTTCTTCATTTGCATTTTTTCACAATTAAAAAGAATGTTCTTTTCTGTAAAAATTTGTAGAAGTGGCAATCCTGGCCTCCAAGGCAGACCCCAAGAGGGAATGATGATCTGCCTGCCCCAAAAAACTGTTCTGCAGTTTCACCTGCATACTCGGTAATTTTTGTTGGATTGTGATCTAAACACACTTGCTAAGGCCACTGTGCACTATCACAGAGGTATTAAGGTTATTGCAATATTGAAGTTTGTGACTCCTATGTTGTTTAATTTGTATTACTAATAGTTCCATAACATCGAATATCTAAGATGCTGTGGAAACAATACCAATGACTGTAAACTAGATTTAAATTGGTTTTGAGTGTGCCCATCTGAAGTTTCACTGTATTTACCAAACTGCTGAAAAGTGAACCTTATAAACTGTTGCATCTTCTCAGTGCTATGCAGACAAAGAAATTGTTGCAGGTCAGCCGGTGAACTATCTATCTGGGCAACATAGGATACCTCGTACCAGTTCAGGATATGTTCCCTGGGGGGAAGTAGACCACAAATACACAAAAAGGAATGCAGACAAGCCGTGTCCACCTCCCTGCAAGCTCAAAGCCTCTTATAATTAAAATAGGAGTTGCTGATGCTGTTCATTGGATGAAGAACAGAACAGTCAGATATTAACTGCCTGAAATTGTACATTATGAGTTGTGGTGGTCCAAATTTCTGCTCTGAACAGCCTCTTGTGAGCACATAAATTAATTTATCTGGAATAGCATTTAAAAAAAAATTCCTTCAGAGTAAAATCAAGTTTAAAGCAGCACTCCTACTGAGAAACCATATAACCACTTTTATTATGTATAAGTATATATGTATAACCATCATACATTATTTCATAGAATCACAGAAATACAGAATTACTTGGGTTGGAAGGGACCTTTAGTGGTCATCTAGTCCAACTTTCCTACCATGGGCAGGGACATTTCCAGTAGACTGCTTGTAGTTGTCCCACCACATCTAGATATATTTTATGTCAGGGAGCAGAACCCAATGTGGTTAAACTACCCAGACACTTCTAGATTTTGCCTTGAAAGAAACCAGCGGAGAATGTGTTCTGTATCCTGGTCATTCTACCACACACATAAGACACACCTCGCCCAGACTAACCATCTGAAGTCCCTTTGCAGCTGGTGGAAAGATACAAGGAACTGCACAGGATCATCAATTTGTCTGTGAGAGGGACTGGATGAAGCATTCCTGGGAAAGTCTTGGCCCCAGCAACCAGGAGAGAGGAAAAGAGCCCAGCTTCTGCACCATGACTGCAAGCTCTGCCAGCTCTGCTTGTGATGGTACAGCTTTGTTGTACTTCCAACGTGAAGTATTCTGGGGATAGCAGCATTGCACCCAACCCTGATCCTCTGCCAGGAACACCCCAGCATCTCCTCCATCCCAGAGTGGCACTCAGAAGCAATGGAGAAAAGCCAGCCTGAAAGCTGATCTGGCCAGCAGAAGTCTGAGTCAGCCCAGAGAATCAAGTTCCTGCTTGATTCTAACCTTCAATGGCTCATATGCACCAGTGCTGCAGCAGCTTCAGCCCTCTTTGAGGCCACCCATCTGTATAGGGTTAAGGAGGCATTTGAGCAACTCAGAGGAATGGACAGGTTCCCTTCTTCAGCACAGCAAAACTGGCAGGCTTTGGGCTCACACTGCCTCTCTGAAGGTATGCTTCTACTTTACTAAGACCCTAATGATTTACATATGAAGAGCCCTGGTTCCTGAGAGAGACCAAGGCTTTACTGCAGCTCCTCACACTAGTATTTCTGCTGTTTTCATCAACTCAGCTTACCCAGAGTAACAGCAACTCCCAGTCTGTGCAACTTAGTGATGCCAATGTCATTCTTGCACAAGAGGAGTCTACAGCTCCCTTCACCCTGAGCAGGAACAAACTACCAACTCACATTGCTCTTGCTCTGCATGGCAAGTCTCACCTGTGGTCTGTACAGTACAGAGGTGTTCCTAGTTTGTCTATATTCAGAGCACACTGATTTATTAACAGCTTGTGAACTACTTTGTTTGAGACATGATCTCTCCTAATGTGTAGACCTACTGAATTTATACTACTTCTTTTCTACTTTATCATTACCCATCAGACATCTGTGACTCTCTAGAGATGCCACTATCAGTGGGAATAGGGATTCTTGAAAAGTTCAAGCTGTGAGTAGTCAGTGCTCTCTCCTCAGTGGTTCTGAAATACACAGTACTTTCTATGAATGCTGTCGTGAGGCAAACTACTTCCGTGCTCACCATGGAGCAAGAGTTAAGTGAAAAGGTCAAGTATGAATGCAAGTCTGTGGAAGGAGAGGGAACTGGGAGAGTGGATGCAGGGGAGCAGGAGTGCTCTTACTCCACCATGTGATTCTCTCTTGCATGCAGAAGCCCTTCTGCCTAAGAACAGCATGAACCAAGCTCCTTGCTGTCACCTAGGTTAAAAAAATAAAAAGGGAATGGATATTGAGAAGAGGAGTATCAGAACAGAGGTTGGGAAATTATGAAGGAGGAGAATGGAGGAAGGGAGGGTAAGTGCTTTCATGTAGGTAGCATTAACAACAACAATAAAAATCAAAGCAGCAAAACAGGTGCTTTCTCCAACTCGCTCATCACTCAAAGGCACCTGAGGAATAACCAGTGTCTACACTTTTTCTTGGAAACCAGGTCACAGTGTATTTCAGCAACCAACACCATTACTACATAACACTGGGAACTATGGGAACAATTCCCTCTCCTCCAGGCAAAAACACTTTGGGAAAGTTCTCCCTGATAAAATATCTCTGTTTGCTTAATACACACCTGCTCACACAGCAGTGCAAACTTGACATGTTTGCATGACCAGCTCTATGGAAAGATGTAGTTAGTTCCATCTGTTTTTCCCTCTGGCCTATACAAATCAAGTCTGGGTCTTGATGGATCTCTGGAAAAGGTAGAGAGGTACTGTTCCTGGGAAGCTGGTGAAGAGGAAAAGTAATCATATGCTTTACTAAGCAATTTATTTTATTTTATTTTTAGTAAACTGTCTGACTGAATTAAACTTTTAACACTACTTGATTATTCAATGGTGCTAGCTGGAAAAGTTAATTTATTAATGGGCTGGTTTCTACTGCTGTTAGCCAGTTATTTCCACTGCAAAATTATCTATTGATAGGGATCATGGGATTTCTGTAGGAATACCTTTTATTGGCATTAAATCTAAATCAGTTGATTCTATCAAGTTTGTCTGGTTTTCTACCCTCTTCCTCTGCATTGGAGCCTCAGCCTATGTCCCTGTAACATGGACACTCACTACCAACCTTGTTTTGGCTTGCCTGTTTGATGTACTACTTAGATATTCTCTAAATGATGCACAACTAAATAACTAAGTAACTACTATTGTTTACATACTTAATTGCAAGATGTGGAAAAATACGTCATTACTTTTAGACCCCACCCTAACTAAATGATAAGTCTGCCAATTTTAAGACCCTGAATACTTAAAACAACACAGTGTCACCAGGAAAATAAAATCTACAGTTTAACACAGCCTGGTTTTTGCTTCTGGAAGAGGAAAGACGGGTTCTACCACATACATGGGAAACACAGGTTCACCAAAGATTTGGCAATTATGGGTATCACACCAGAGTTTGTCCTAGTGCTAAGCATGAGGACTCTTCATTGCACAGGATACACAGATCTGTGTTTCCTAAAAGAACCTGCTGAGCACAAAGTAAGTTGCTTTGCTTGTCTGTCTGCTACTCAGTCCCAACTCTTTGTATGCTCTTTAGAAAAGGCCAAATGCTCTTTTCCAGTTGTCTTCAATGGCAATCCCCATAATTTCAGTAAAATATCTTACATTAATTCCTGCATGCCCCTGTCTCAGATATATGCTGAGGTAAAGAAAGTCTGTGTCTCTACTCTTTGCTTAGGAGAAGAAGTAAGCAACTTCTGTAGGGTCATGCAAGAAGACAACAGCACAAGAGAGATGTGAACCTGGTTCCTCTGCATCCCCAACTAATCTGACCTGTTTTACAATAACTTTTGATGGAAGCTGTTCTGGTGAAGGCCTGAAAAGAAAAAGTCTCTCAGCAAATCACTTGGTACATCACATAGTACTTTGTCCTGCCAGTTTGAGGATTTGCAGCCCTCTTAAAATTAGAAAGTGTTAAGAATGCCCAGAGACAGTCAGTCCTGAAAATTTCCAAGCCTGATTGGCTTACACATTGAGTATTTAAATGCTCTTGGCTTTTTGAAACGGGAGTATTCATGCTTACCAAGGATTTAGTGTACTATAAAGCCAGGAGTCAAGGAAAAAAAAAAACAAAGCACATACCTCAGCAAATAGAGTTTACTCCCTTCTAATTCACGGCAATCTAGTTTAACAGCTTTGTTCTGACTCATACAGGAGTTTAAAGCAATACTACTACAGTGGAGAGAGGGTTAACTTTTACTCCTAAGCTATAGTATAACAAAAAAATAAGACCCAAAGGGCCAGAACGTGTATTCGTTGGCAAGGAGAAGCACTGTAAAAGAGGGTGGAAGTTTCCTGTTAGACAGGAAGACAGGAGAAACTGCACCACACTGCAGAAAAGCTCCCATTAAGAGCTCAAAATATTTCTCCATTTCCTTCACCTCTCCACTAAGCTGCCTGCAGACTCTCTGCAAACCCCTTGCTGTAAATCACCCTCTTTGAGTCAATTCCCCCCGCCAAAGTCACAGCTTGTCACATCAGCAAGACCATTTCATGGAGGGCTGCAGACCTACCTCCTGGACTTTGCTGTGGTCTCTTCCCCTTGCAGAGCTCTTTAGGATGCTCTGCCCCAGGATATCAGCACAGGCACATCCAGCTTGGTGGGTGAGCGAAGTCCTGGTGTCTGCTTCATCCTGCCACTGCCTGCAGCCTTCACCATCATCAGTGTTTCAAGCGTGTATGAAGCCGGATGTACAGAAGTAGTAGGGATGACATTGTTTCTTGCACAAATTACAAAAGAAAATTGTAAAAGTTAGCTGAAAAATAGTGAGCATCAAGGCTTTCTATGAAAAGCTGTGGAAGACATTATCTGTATAAGAACCTGTAGTGGGTTGACCCTGGCTGGACACCAGGTACCCACCAAGGCTGCTCTATCGCTTCCCTCTGCAGCTGGACAGGGGAGAGAAAATATAACTCAGGGTTTATGGGTTGAGACAAGGACCAGGAGAAGCCCCTTGTATCCTTGGCATCAACTACCTCAGGAGAGAGTACTCCAAGAATCCAAAGGGCTATCGATAGGCTTTTGGTGTAGCTACTCTGAATACAGAGATCAAACAATTAGGTACCCTGCCTGGCCTCTCAGAAGATCCCTTCATCATGAGATTGCTGCAAGTCGAAGACCAGCAAGTGCCAGTTGCTACTGGAGCAGTGCACCAGCAGAAATCACACCAACCAAGACTCCATAATTCCCATCTATAAGCTAATTTGTCAACTGGAGAGCCAAGGAGTGCTCAGCAGGACTTGTTCACCCTTTAACAGCCCCATATGGCCCGTGTAAAAGTCTAATGGAGAGTGGAGACAGTAGACTATTGTGGCCTGAATGAAGTCACGCTGCCTCTGAGTGCTGGTGTGCCAGACACAGGCAAAGCATCTAGCAGCTTCTCACACAAGCCACCCCAGTATTCCCCCCATCACTACCAAAACCTGGCCACACAAACCCAATACAGAATCCTATATTTTTGTTTACCCACACAGCATTTCTAAGCATCAAGAAGGTAGGGAGAAAAAAAAGAAGGTAAGGAGAAAAAAAAAACAAAACAAAACAAAAAACCTAAAAAAACAGATCACATCAAAGCAACCTAATTTCCTCTACAGCACGCTGAAGAGGACTTGGGGATAGGCAGGAAAGCACTGAGATGTGAGGAGTTTTTGTCAAAAGCCTCACCAATAAGATGAGCATGGTACTTCAGGTACTGAGACCTCAGGTCTTGGAGGTCTTGCTCCTTTCACAAATTAAATAGCTCTGACACTAAGCCAAGACCAGAAATTTGGGCTACTGTTCTGAGACCCACAATCCTGGTGATACTTCCTGAAATTCTGCTTGGATACGATGATCCGCATTGCAAGTTCGCCTGTGCGCAAGTACTTTGTATGGTGTACAATGTCTCCTACACGGCAAGAAATATATTTTTAGGCTATTATACCTAAATTTTCTGTGTATAATGGTTACAAAGAAGTCTGAGGAACTAAACACTGTACTAATTGCATATACAACAAACAATTATCACAGTATTTTCCCTCAAGGAAAGCACAGCAGCAGTAACTCGTCTACATCCATATTTTGACCAAAATACTGTGCACACCAGCCTCCTCTTCATCATCAGACTTATAACCTGCACTTCTGTGGCTAGAGTAGGCTGAATCTCATAAGCTCCAAATCTCATAAGCTCCAAAGAGAGCTCAGGATCATGGGATCCTGCAGTCCTGCCTTAGCTCGATGGCCCCAGCACAGCAAAATCGTACAGAGCACAGTTTCTGGATTCCCCACTTAATATTTGGCTCTCTCTGTATGCATAAGATGCCATGTGGCATGACAGTAGCTGGGTCAACATTACCTCTTCTCAGTCTGATGGTAGGGTATAGTGGCTAATTGTATCAAATGTTATTAATTTATTAAAAAAAATTAAGAACATAGAACATTTTCTGTGAGACAAAAGCTTCCAGCACATGTAAAACTGGGAAATGTCTGCAGACAGCTATGCATCTTTTGAGTAATCTTTAGGCTGCTGACTTGTCCTTGCCTGAAGAATCAAGTATGCAGAAAGACCCCTCCCACCAAACAAGACACCATAAAAATGCACACAGGACAACTGCACTCCGCAGCCAATACAAAAGGAAAAGGTCTTTGACTGGCACCAGGATATCCTGCATGGGCCAGGGACTAGCTTCCTGAGACACCAGAACAAGCCACACTGTAGTTAGATAATATGACAGAACACATTGTAGGAGGATGGGTGGGTCTCTGACGTGCTGGTATGTACCCTGTCACCTGCTTATTGATGCCTCTCTCTGGGCATGATGCAATTACAGAGCTCCTCTTTCTTCACAGTTGTCTCTCTTGTACTCAAAGCAGAGGGACCTGTGCATTGCACATTGCAAATCCTGGTGAAGCCCTCTTCATTTTTGAGTGTTTCAGTGAGAGAGTCTGATGAGGTTTGACTTGTTGACAGCTACGCAAAATGTAACTCCCTTGCTGGATTCAGCACCCTGCTGTTTATGTCATAGAAAAGAGCTTTTTATGACTCATCTGATGTATCTCTTAGTTCCTCTATCAATATTTCCTGGAAGACCTCAAAATGCCTTTCTGTAGCTGTAACAGCTATGCAAATGCTGTAAGGTTAATTCTTCTGAACTCATCTGGACTGCTTCTAAAGAATCTCAGAGATATAGTCTCTTGCCTTTTACCAAGCATTTTTAAGGTCATCACAGACAGCCTGTTGACTTACTAGAATAATTTGCACATATTAGGCCAGAAAAGAGCATGCATAGTACAGGCTATGATCTACAAAATCTATAGAACCTAAAGCACAAGCAGTTTTCAGTGTCTGGACCACTTTCTTGCACTCCCACTGTAATACCAGCACAAAGGTGCAGCCAATACAAGTAACTGAAGCCTGAATGTATTCCTTATCACCATTACTGCTTTTCAAAAAGTTAGAGTCCTTAAGAATTGCTCGTTTATATGATGCATGTTTCAAAAAGCATTAGCCAAGTTTGTTGGCAATCTTTAAATGCCTTTGCAGCTGGGCAGCATAAAGAAAAAGATAAGAAATGGACCAAACCCCAGCAGCATCAGATATATAAAACCAGAAACCACATCTGCACAAACATAGTAGCATTTCACTTCCCTTTCTATGACCTTCTCAGAAAAGCTACATGCATGAAAGAACAGACCCATCCAGCCCAAGATGTCGCCTAAGAGTACTCAAAAGCAGATACTTGGAAACAGAACTCTTGAACACCTTTTCCACACATTCTTTCCACTTCCATTTCCTTACAGCTCAGCAGTTGCCAAAGACAGGGGTTACAACTGTCCATTTCTCATGAAATTTTGGGTTCTTCCATCCAGTCATTTTTTAACCTACCTAAATTTTCTGACATCCAGAGACTAGGGAGTATGGGGGTGGGGGGAAGCACTGTACAGCTGACTTGACCATTGTGTAAAAACCCACTTTCTCATACTTGCTTTCAATATTTTGCCCTCCAGTGTCATTTGACTGTTGTAGTTCCTAGTCGGAAAGAGAGCAAGCAGCTCTTTCCTGTTCACTGCCTCCACTATGTTACTATTAAGGACACGTGCCTCACTCAAAATGAAACAGGCTGCTTTACAGACTAGGTCTTCGGAATGAGTTAGAGGATGTTCAATGGAGCAGATGCTCACATTGGAGCACATGGATCACAGTGGAGGTTCCCCTTAAGGTCTCCTTCTTCAAACCTTACTCTGATATTAATAAATCTGTCAGCCCCATAATGAGGGAGAAGCTGCTACCGTCTCTCTTCCAGGAAAAAAAAAAAATTTGTGACAGATTCTTGCTATTGTTACTCTTTGTTTCCTCACAAGGAAAAAGAGCCTTTTTCCATACTAAAGAAATGACTAAGTGCTCTTAGCACATTTAAACACAGATGCAGACTAACATGTACGTTTTTAGCAACTTACTGAGAGATGAAAAAAGGCTAACATCACAACAAACCCGATTTCTGTTATCAAATCACCCTAAGTTGGTGTACAGCTCCTCGAGAGCAGCTTGTGCGGCTGCAACATCTGGGCAGCCGCCTGCCTGCGGGGGTGCGGGCAGGTGCGTGCCCGGCTCCAGGCACCCCTTGGTAAACTCTGCCTTGTTTTGCTTCCGAGATGCAAAATCACCCCGTAACTAACTTTTAAGACACACGGCGCCTTCTTACCAGAACTTTCCCGCAGCACCGCCGACGCCGGCACCGATCCTGCTCCTCCTCCTGCTGCTCCGGCCGCCTCCAGCGCCGCGCCCGGCCCGGCCCTCTCGCCCCCGCACAGCACCGCCCCGCTGCGCTCCCGCGGAGCCACGGAGCTGCTGCCGCCCTTTCCTCCTCCTCCTTCTCCTCCTCCTCCAAATTCTGCCGCCGCTGCCGAGCCTCCAAGTTTGCGCCTATGGCGAAGCCGCCGGGAGAAGGACAGGAGCTGCTGCGGCCCCAGAGCGCCGCTCCGCGCAAAAAGTTGGGGCTGAGCTCCGCGGGCCGGGCCGGGCCGGGCCGAGCCGAGCCGGGCCCCCTCGCTGCCGCTGCCTCGGGACGTGCCCGCCAGCCGCGCTCTCCCCGGGGCGGATCGCGGCCGTCCCGGCTCCGAGAGGCGCGCTGTGTGCGGGGGTTGCGCGAACATGTGCGGACGTGTGCGTGGCGCGGCATTTTGCTCCCTGACGTGGAGGAAAAATACGAAGGGCCGCCACCCGCCCCGCAACCTGGCGGGTAAAAGGAGGAGGAGGAGGAGACGGCGAGGGCCTCGTCGGCACCTGGGTGCGGGAGGAGCCTCCCCACCGCCCCTCCGGCGAGCGCGGCGCCGGCTCCGCGGGGGCGGAGCGGGGGAAGAGCCGCGCTGCGCTGCGGGTTCGCAAACACTGCGGCCGGCGTGGGCCCGGCAACAAGACAGGACTGTGCTGGGGGGATGCCCCCGGCCCGGGCTCCTCACCCTCTCCGCGGCTGCCCCGGGAGCGCACAGTCGTGAGCAGGACCCGGCTGCAGCGGTCCCGGGTCGCGTGGGCGCGGGGCGCCGGCGATGGCTGCAGTTCTGAACCAACGGGCTGTGGTCTAGCTTTAAACCTCTACTAAGAGTGAGATAACCTGCCGCTGCACCGGACTAGTGCAGTTCCACAGCGACTTCCAGGAAAAGGCCGGTGTTTTAAAGTCAGGCAGAGCTTGCGGGCCTGCACCCCTAGTACCCCGGCTCGGTGGGAAATGTGGAAACCACCACCAGAACGGAGAGCATCTGTCTGCTGCCATAGCGCAGATCGTGCAGCTGGGCACAGCTGTGGTAGCTCAGCTTAAGAGTGATAATTATTTAAGCCGCTGTGACCGAGTTACATGTGTGCTTGAACTCCCGCCACAGAAACACGTGAGTGAAATCAAAGGGACACAGATGGTGAACAACTCACCTGTGGGTTTGCTCTGCTACAGAAATATTGGTCTAAGTGGTAAAACTTTCTCCCAGAGACAAAGCCAAAGCCTTAGTAACAACACACAAACATCCAAAAACCCCCCAAACAAAACCAAACCCACAACCGCAACCCAGAAAGGCAGAGATACGAAACACTTAAAAGTTCTTTGAATTGAGTTCCCAAGTCCCATTCCTCTGAAATGTTTTACTCTCTTCCTGTATCATGATTGTTTTCTTGATATGGACAGAAACTTAAGACTTCAAATTCCAAATCAGTTATAATATTTTCCTACTTTACTGGTTAATTGACTACTGGTGACCAGAAAAAAGGCCTGAATTTCATGTATGCAGTTGCTCATTCTCTTGACTACTTAAAGAAGGTATTTTCCTCCAGTTACTATTAAAGTTTAGAAACCAGAAACAAAGTCTTCGTCTTTGTGTCATAATGACAAAACACTTGAAAACTGCAACTGCTTCAAGAATTTATCCAAATTCCTATGGCAACATTATTCACCCCTTCCTCCTCTCCACTCCCCACCTTAGTTGCATTTCCACCATCAAAAACTCTTGCTGGTTACAGTTCATCTTTGCCTGCCAAGACAGTGCAAATGTTTTGTGCTGATCCTCTACCTAGTGTGAATTTAGCTCTCTCTTCACCTATGTCTTTCTCTCTTTTCTCTTTCCCACGTGTTTCCCTTGCTTAACAGAGCTTCATAACCTCTGGCCTGTGTTACTCAGGAGGTCTGCTTATCACATTGGTCCCCGCCGGACTTAAAATCTATGTATCTTGTGTTGTACTGTGTGTCTCCCAGCTGCTTATCTTCCTCCTCATCCCTATTCTTTCGAGTCTTGCATTCTTCTTCACTGGTATTAATCTCCCCCACTGATTTTAACTCCATTTTAGCAATAAATAAATAAATCTGTGGAAATATGAATCTGAATTTGTAGCTTTTGTTCACTGCATCATCTCTTTCTCTTTTTATTCCCCATCTGAATATTAAGAGCATCATAATGCTGGGGGTTTTGTATTATTATTTGCATTTCATATCCTTTTTACTTTAGCCTGCACCATGCAAAATAAATGCTAACTCACAGCCTAGGAATGGAGAAAAGGGGTTTACCCAATAAAAGAACTGAATTACAGAAACAGCAGGAGGGGCTGGGAGGACTTACAATCTGTTTGCCATTTGTGAGCAAAAGCTTTATTACTCTGCTGCACTTCAGACCACTAATAGCTGCCTATCTGACCTGTGATAACCAGTTATATTTTTATGCAAAAGTACACTTAAAAATATAAATTTAAACAGAGAGAACATTATGGGGTAAGTTTTTCCCATCTCTTAATGGATCTTCACACTAAGAACAATATTCCAGCAGGGAGAATGGGGAATATTCACAGTTTTAAGATTTGGGGAGCAGAATCCTACATTTGCTAGTCATATTAAACCATATGTTATCAAGCTATCCTTTCTCAGGACGTTTATATATAATATAAAGAATGAAAAAAACCCCACAAAAAACCACTGGTAGCTTACTTTTACATATGGCATCAGTAAAAACCAGTGGTTTTCATGTAGCACTTTGCATTTTTACCTCTTTGCTCAGCTTAAATAATTTCAATTTTCTGTCACTATCTAAGGACTGCCTTAGGTCATGTAATCATGTTAATATAAGGGAAATCACGTTAATGTAATGGACCAAAATATTACTGTCAGACACTCATGGGTTTTTTACATTAATTTTATTAGACATCTTGCAACAAAGAAAAAATGTCAAACAAACATGCAATTCAGAGGTCATTTTAACAGTCAAATATTTTCTGCTTTTCAGTGTAAGTGCCATATTTGAACGAACACTTCCTTTTAAAACAACATGCCTTCAGGTTTGTTTTGCTGCTGCAGTTGTGAGACCACTCCATTTTCCTTCTGTGTGGAAATTGACCTTTACAAAATACCTGTTACTCAATAGCATTTACCTTTTTTTGACTTCCAGGCCATTTGCATTTCTTCATTCTTACAGCCCACCTATGATTGCTCATGCATCCTATGGCACAGTATTAGCTGTCTGCGTGTCAGACCCCTCTCTCTTCCCTAAACCAACTTCTCTTTAAGACACTAATCAAATCTCTCCAGAACATCTCTTCGCACTCCAAATGTCTTGCTGAGGTTGTTTTGTATTGACAGAGATACTTCTCATCCCATTCACTGGAGTTAGCAGTAGCAGGTACAATTATTTCATTCCTTCTTATAATCCAGAGAATGAAAGAGCAAGAATGCCATTTGAATGCAGATAACTCTCATGACAGTCAGACATGTTACAAATATGCTGCTAAGGCAGATTCGCACATTGTAAAATTAAAATAAATAGAAACCCGCCAGAATTTGGAATGAACATCTAAGATGCTGTCAGATGAAAAAATTTGTGTTCTGCAAACAGGCTAACTGTAATTCCTGCCATATGCCAGCACATTTTCTGCCTGTCAGAAAGACTTGTCTGGAACATGAATGGAGTTTCCCTGAGCACTTCCAGTGGCCAAAATTCCTCTTTTAACCTCTCCCAGCACCTGCCCCTCTTCTCAAATGTTATATCCATGCCACACAAAGCAAAGCTGCTGGTGATTTTCAAAGCTGCCCATCTTGATTTTTTGCCTACCCTAACAGTTTATATTATTACAAAAACATGTGCTGCTATTTCTGATAGCACATGCTCAGCCAGAGCAGTTCCAGGTTTAGGTGTAGGAAGTAACTATTTGTGTTGATATCTGTCAGGTTCTGTGCTGCCCCATCAAGCATGAGCAGTTACTTAAATCTTAAATTAAAACTTGAATTCCATACAAAGTTATCAACCTGGAATATAATTCATAAGTACCACTGTATAACAGTCCTCATCTATTTCCCCATTTCTTAATTTTGCAGCACAAAATTAAATATTGACAGTTATCCTTATCTGCTACTAAGTACTCCCCTGTTCCTCACTTAATCAATCTTTCCATTCATTCCAAGTGCTGGGCAAATGATTTATCAAAATGACGGTAACAAAGCACTTAGTTCTAAAAGCGCAAGTATTTACTTCTAAGTGATGAGAAGAAATGTTAGCACTCAAGAAGTCTTTAGAATCCAAAATCTTCACACCCTCTGTAGAAACTCCAGTGCTTTTCCATTACAGAGCATGGCAGAAACTCCTCTTTACATACCATTACTCTCTCATGGAATTGAAGAAAATGTGTCAGACTTTCCACTGAGTTAAACTGGACAGAAGAGCCTGTTGAAAATGAATGCAAATGATAACAGAGTGTTTATTGGAGTAATGGAAAGCAATCATTGGCACTACTTTCTAAAAAGGTGTTTGCTATTTTTTAGACCATGTAATCATTAGTGTTCCCTACAAATCTGTAACATATCCTAGGATTCTTGTGGGAAAAGACTCAGGACATCTTACCAGTATCTCTCACCCACATCCAGTAGACCTTCTGGTGCCCAGGCTGAAAAGTTAACCATCCCAGACATTTCCAGTTACGTAACAGGAAAATGCAGTTTTTCTTTAGTACTGATGGAATTTCACATATTATGTCTACAAAGAGATATGCTTGGTGTACTTCCCTAAATTGAGAAGTCTCACAGGGAATACCCATCCTACAGTCCTGAAAGGACTATATAAAAAGGAAGGCATACACTCGTAGAGAAGAAATTGCAGGATTGAATAATGGGTGTTTGCAATATTTAAATATCTGCTGGACTGAATTAACTATTGCAATGAATATATTTAAGGCATTCGTGTCAGTACAAAAACTGAACTTTTTAAAACTTAAAAATCATTCACAAAGTAACATTGTAAAGATCCAGCAGTAGGAAACGTTACAAGGCATTTCTCCGTAACAGCACAGACTCCAAAAGGCACTTGCAACTGTAGATTTCAGCATTACTTGCTTTTGTTTATCTTTCATCCTCACTTTCTCCCTTCAGCACCCTTGCACAAAGTAACAGAGTTGCTGAGCTGCCACAACCAGCCCAGCACAGAAACTGCCAGTGAGAGCAGAACTGTCACACTTAGCAGGCGGTATCAAGAGAGGGAAGACTATCATTAAAGTAGGGATGTATTCTGATTAAAAAAAACAACAAAACCAAACAACAAGCCACATCAAGAAGGTGTCCAAACAACATTCAAGTGTCTCGATAAACAAAACAGGGTACATATTTCAGGACTATTAGATCAGTCAAGATAAATCCTTGTCAAAGTACAGAGAAAACATGTTTGAAGTGATATCAGTTGGCCATTTAGTTTGCACCTATTTCTGGGCTCCCATGTGCCACACCAAGAGTCTCTTTCTCTGCTACTACAGTTTTCCATTTGTATCACCTACACCACTTCCAAAAAGCAAAATATATTTGCTGAAAACATTGGTAGAAGGAGCCAGTGCTAAAACAAACAGTGTAGCTTGTAAGTGTTAAGACCTTCTAACTCCATGTCTTGGTAATGATTACCCTGAATCCCAGGAGCTCACCATCCAAAGCAGCGAAGCAGAAAACTGCTATTAGAAGCAAAAGGTCTGTGTTCAGAAATGCAAACAGGGAGTTTTATGTGTGTGGATGTTCCACACCCATGACATCCACAGCAAAACTTCTGACTCCAGTGAGGACAGGATTGCATTCGGCGTCTTACACCATCCGTGCAGTACCCTCAGCCACAGCATAGGACATAATGGAACAAAGTATATGATCTCATGTCTGGGGTATATTTAAGTATGACTGACTGCAACAAAAATAGGCTGCACACAAGTCCCATGCAAGAAGTTACATCACAAACCCTCCTCACATAGTCTTTACCACTTGTGAAGCAGCTGTCAGTCAGTTGCACTAGAAGAAGACAACTTATACACTCATCTAGAAGTGATGTTTTAAAGGGCACAAACAGGAATGTTTGGACAGAAAATAAAAAAAATAGTTTTAAGAACAACTTCAGGTAAAAATAATCTTAAAAGTATGCCTGGGAATTTTTTTTATAAAAGAAACTGGCAGAAACTGAGATGAAACATTGTCATTAATTCTGAGTCTGAACTGCGGTGACATGACAGGCATGGCTTCAACCCGCTTTGGTTTGTTCAAAATAAGCTTTTTCATTCTCAAATCTCTACATTTTGTATACAAGCAGAGGGAAAATTCTTAGCACAGCCTGAATTTAACATCATGTTTTGAGAGATCATAATTGGAGAAAAGACATTCCTTTCTTACTTCGGAAATGCTCTTTAGAAATGCTCCACATTGATTTAACTTACTTACTAAAAATTCTCAACTCAAATACAAAAGTGTAAGAGAGATCTGACCAATTAGATCTATTGAAGTAACTTTTTTCTTCAGCAGCTGACAGCTTGTTGATTCCTTTGGGTTAAATTTATGTTTTACTTATCCGATTAAGATTTTGTAAATTAAATATCAGTATTCTACTGTAAATACCCGAGTGAATAATTAAAATATCTAATATCTGTAACCTCTATTTTTCAATAATTTAGGTAACAGTCAACAGCTAGCAAAACCACAGTAATTTATATTTCCTAAAGCCGACTTCCTCAATTCTGGCATCAATGTTTGATATCAAAATTTCTACATCCATAGACAATATTTCTTCCCCAGTAAGGATGAATCAGTATTTTAGTCCCTGTGTTTCTTCCTCTATATTCTGACACAGATTATTAATATCCTTCCCATTTTTCTTTCTCAATTTTTTCTCCCCTTTCTCTTTCCCTTTCCTATTATTTTTAATCATCTAATACCCACTTTGATGTTTCCTTCCTCCATTTTGCTGACTGTTAACTCTCAGACCCTTACAAAAGACTGGCAGCTTCCAGGCTGTAAACAGCAGAGAAATGTTGCTATACTGTTATCCAAAACTCAGTGCCCCCGGTATAGAGGAAAACTTAATAAATGAAGACACAGACAGGCAGGGTCTTTCTCTGCTTTCCTACCCTTGCTGTCCTGTTAGGTGTTCTCAGTTTTCTGTCATCTTCTACAGGATAAAGTATCAATATTAGAATGAGCTTTTTTTTCCCCAAAAATATGTGGAATACACATGTTGTCTCTTGGTAGCTTTTCCATCCTGCTTATCAACAGTTTTTCTGTCTCTGAAGGCATCTATTTTAGTTCTACAGTTTTGAAACAGTATCACAGAATCAAGTAGGTTGGAAAAGACCTCTGAGATCATCGAGTCCAATCTATGACCTAACACCACCTCATCTACTAGACCATAGCACTAAGTGCCACATCTAGTCTCTTCTTATATACCTCCAGGAATGGTGGCTCCAACACCACCCTGGGCAGCCCGTTCCAATGTCTGATCACTCCCTCTGTGAAGAAATTCCTCCTAATGCCTAACCTAAACCTCCCCTGGTGCAGCTTAAGACTGTGCCCTCTTATCCTACTGCTGTTGCCTGGGAGAAGAGACCAACCCCCACCTGGCTACAACCTCCTTTCAGGTAGTTGTAGAGAGTGATGGGATCTCCCCTGAGCCTCCTCTTTCCCAGGCTAAACAGCCCCAGCTCTGTCAGCCTCTCCTCAGAGGACTTATGCTCCAGTCCCTTCATCAGCCTCGTTGCCCTTCTTTGGACACACTTCAGCACCACAGTGTTCTTCCTGAACTGAGAGGCCCAAAACTGGACACAGTACTCAAGGTGTGGCCTCACCAGTGCTGAGTACAGGGGAAGGATCACTGCCCTGGTCCTGCTGGCCACACTGTTCCTGATACAGGCCGGGATGTCATTGGCCTTCTTGGCCACCTGGGCACACTGCTGGCTCATGTTCAGCTGCTGTCAGTCAGTACCCCAGGTCCCTCTCTGCCTGGCTGCTCTCCAGCCACTCTGTCCCCAGCCTGTAGCGCTGCTTGGGGTTGTTGTGGCCAAAGTGCAAGACCAAGCACTCAACCCTGTTGAACCCCATACTGCTGGATTCAGCCCATTTATCCAGTCTGTCCAGGTCCCTCTGCAGAGCTCTCCCGCTTTCTAGCAGATCAACACTCTCCCCCAACTTGGTGTCATCTGCAAATTTCTAAGGGTAGATTCGATCCCCTCATCCAAGTTTTCAACTTTTGTTTCCATTTTGTTGCATCTCTACAAGACCTAGTTCTCTGGGGCTGCTAAGAATCCAAAAATTTTATTTAAGGAGAATTCCCATTAATGTGAAACTACATGAATATCAGACCATAATCTCCAGTTGCACAGAGGTTAGTCAGCAAAGACTGCCACTTCAGTGCAGAGTCACCATTTTCTGATCATTAAAACAGCTCCTGAAAGATTACATCTTGAAAATCCCACTAGTATCTTCCTTACTTATCCCAAGCAAGAAAGTGCTTGGGACTACCCAGAGGCACGGTTATGCATTTTATAACTATTTTACTTGGGGAAATTATTTGTAAAAGGAATTTAAATGCTTTTGTAGTTTAAGCAACATATTTGAGTAAATTTACAGGCATCAGTAAATCCAGTTTAAATACTTCTGTAAAACAGGTAACCGTTAGAATAATCTGAGAGATCATCTGAGGGAAAGATGATCTCATTTGCAGTATTTGGCAGAGTCACAGGAGATTTTATTCTTCTAACTCAAAAGGATCTGGTTCAGCACAGCTGGTCTAGACATGGTTTACAGATGCATAAGCAAAGAGAAGATCTAAGAACAACACACTTAAAGGTGACAGCCTTTGATCTAGAGTGCCACAAGGGAGTATTTATAAAACAAAAATCTATTTTTAAGTGCTTTCAAGTTTCTTGGGACTTATCCACACTCCTCTCAAGAACTTAGAGAAGACCAGTCACAATATAGGAGTCTCAATAGGCATTGTCTATTCAGACCAAACAAGGCCTTAGAAATGACAGCCAGCAATTCACATAACATTTTTGGGCCCTCTGACTCTTAAAAAAAGGTTTCTACTAAATTGAGGCACAAGAATTCTGCCCATGCTAGTAGTAATTTTGAAAATAACTTTTCTTTCAGCTGATTGAGACCTGACATTTTGGAAAAAGAGATGTGTGTGAACAGATTGAATAGTAAGACTAGAGCTTTCTCCAACAAAATACATTTTCCTAGTAGTTTAATATTTTTCCCCTCTGAACGCTTTTGCTTTTCTCCAGGTCTCTCCACAGTTCTTGATTCACTTCACTTGATATCAATTCTTTTTTCCTCCTGTAAATGCTGGAGTCCAAGGTCTCTGTCCTTACAAACCAATTACTAAGGAGTGATCTTTTTTTAACATTCAGATCAACCATGTCAGTCAGACACCTGAAGTTAGTCCATCCACTATAACATACAGGTCAGCAGGGATTTTGTCAATTGTGATCCTCTTTGGCTATCCCATCCCAATTCTGAAAGTACCTTTTCCCCAAGAATTAATTTATCAAGCAACTGTAAATTACACACACTGCATTTTTTTGAATTAGTAATTATAACCCTTCGAAAAAAAGTCAAAGGATATTTATAGCATCATTATAATAAATAAATCATTTTAGTTCGGAAGCTACCTAATGGACTTTAATGACCAGATAATTCATGGAACAGCTATAACAGTGCCAGAAGGACGTAGAGCACCTTCTGATAGTATCTTAGCCTACATTTTCTTCCCTTCACATATCAGACATGAGTCACCGTGGATGATCTATAAGTTCAGTTTATCATTTTCCTATAACTGGAATTTGTATAGTAATAATGTGGAATTTAATTCATACTTCCACAATTCACTATTCTATTTTGTTGCTTCTAGATAAAATGCTAGATTTGAGAAACATTTCCTTTTTCACTCAGTAAAGGATAGTATTCCTCAGAAGTTCATTTTTCCTTTTTGCCCTCCAGTGAGATTGGCAAAAACAATGTCACAAAGCAGAAAAAAATATTAGGTGTTTAGAATCATTCTTCTTTCAAAGTATTTAATAACTGGGCCTTTCTTGTTGCACTCTGTATCTGCATGGGAAAAGGACTTGCAGGTATGATTAAAGATTAAGTATTCATGCCTTTTATTCTAAAGCATCACTTTCAAGGTTTACGCTGAAATCTCTAATTATTTTATGTTTCATTTGGCAGAAAATATTATTCCTACAAAAGGACTCAGAGATGGTATACTTTTTCAAAAGATATACTTTTTCTGTTTCTAAACATCTGAAGAATGTAAAATAATAATATTTAAAAAAAAAGCTTTCTTTAAAGCATTGCCCAGATAAGTGATATGAAGTAACACAAATACATTATTTTCCATTACACTTCTGCCTACGTCACAATCTCATACGGTAACTGTTTTTTATCTTCTTCTAGGTATCCTTGGGCCTGTTAGCCAGTAACAAATACTTATACATGACACATTCTGAATCATTATTCTTTAGGAACCTTGGATTGGTGTATTAAGATATTGTTAAGTTTTTCACTTAACAATGTGAGGAAGTCAAGTCCTCCAGTGTACTGCAGAAATCCACCGATGTTTCAATAACCTCTAAGAGAAACAAGATAACAATTTAAATCTCAGTGACTCTTGCCTTCTTTGATACAGATATGATTTTTTCCTCAAAAGGTGAGAGAGGTATAATTGACATACATGCAAATACCAATTGAGAAATGTAAACAGCCTCCCACAGAAGAATCTATATTCAAGACTGAATTTATAAAGAAATAAAATATAAGTATTTTTAAAATAAAACAGCTGATTCCATTTTTCTCACACAAATATTTTTACACAGTTGTCTAGATGACTTTTCGGTTTCTCAATTAAATCAATCACTCCAATATCAAATTGCAAGTTCAATAACAACAACCTAGTACCTTTTATTAAAAGGGACAAAGATTGCTTTAATATGATTCCTAGGAGTCTACTTCTTGGTATGACTAGCAGGGTGCAGGTTTCCAGCATATGTTTCTTTCTTTTCAAACTTATTGATTTATTGTTGTAGACTTGATTATACAAATGTATAATCATTTGGAAGGAAAACGCTTCTCTAAAATTATTTCTAACCACTTTAAGAAACTTGAATTTAATGTGCTGAGATAGTGCATAAGAAGCAGTTACAGGGCTAAACCTGGGTAATTAAAAACACAATATTTTAAAATTCTTGCAGTTTATAGCAAACTGAGATGCAGACTGGAAGAAGTGGAAGAAAAAGTATAAATCAAACTTCAGCCCAGATTAGAACAGCCACCTGTAGAAAAACCAACAGCTCATGTTTTTCAAGCACTGGCAAAATCTACAGAGGCTGTAACTCATTTGCTGAGTTTTATGTACAGCCTCAGAACAACTCATAGAGCCTTCTCCTAGGCTATTATCATGTGGTGATTAAAAGACTGAATTGTTTTGTTTAGAAGCTTTGTTGTAACTTTGTTAAAAGTCACTGAAAAAAAGACAGAAGTATGATATAATCTGAACACTCACCAAGGTAAAATCATCAGGCAGTCTCCTAAATGCTTTCATTTCACATTACCAGTACAGTGTCAAAAAAGTCTTTCCTCTCTGTTTCAAGCAAAGCAGCAGCTGAAGCCAGTGCCTCTTGAAGCTTGCTGTGTATCACACTGCCTTTTGTTTATTGCTTCCAAAAGTAAGATAAGAAAAGATAAATGTGTTCTAGGAAGATTATCTACAACAGTTCTGTTTGCCTTAGTCTTCTCTCAGTCTCCATGGGACCACCAAAGCAGATGAAAACATCATAGTGCAGCTGACGAATTAAGAAGATGGGTCAGTTATCAAAGGATTATTTTTTACAATTGTTTCACAAAGTAAAAAGGCCAGAAAGCCAGTGTTCAAAGCACTTGACTAGGAGTCAGTTTATGTACTCTTAGGTAGTTTTTTTAAGGAAACATGGTTTCTGTATCAACAAAGAGGGGCAATGGTTGCAAGTTTTAACAAGCAAGATTCCAACTACATTCACTGGGAAAAAATCACCATAAGCACATGAATATGCTGTACAGTCATATTATGGAATGCCCATCCTTGAAAATATTCAGAATTTGACTGGACAAGGCACTGAGCAACCTTATCTAACTTGGAAACTGGACCTACTTTGAACAGAGGGTTGGACTAAAGATCTCCACAAGTCCCACTGAACCTACATTAGCCTGTGATTCTGTGCAATCACCTAGTTATTTCTGCAGTGATTTGCCAGTTTCAGAAAAATCTAACTTACAGGTAAGAAAGACAGATATTAAATTCTTAGAATTGGCTTCCATGACATGTAGTCCTTGATAGCTGTTTCTTTTTCCCCCCTTTCTCCCCTTCCACAAGTTTTTGGCCATCTAAAAAGTGATTTTTGTTTGGTTCTTGCTGGCCACATACTTCAGTTCTGAGTCAGTCATGTGACATAGTACCTTCTAACCTGCTGGAAGTCAAACAACAGCAGACAGAGGATTTTGGAAAGGAAGAGTGTGCAGATGAAGAAAGCCTATACCTCAGTCACGGTATGCAAAGGTACTGGAAAACACAGCTTGGTAAATTCTGCAGGCAGAACTGTGTGCTTCTCAGTAAAGTAAGTACCTAAAGCAACTGTCTTGAACTTTACAGTACTGGAAAATACTTTTAAATATTTTGTCTATGAGCCATAAGGAAGAGAAAACAGTGTAATAGTTGTGCCTTGAAATACCTCTGAGCTTGAAAAATATTATGGATGCAAAAAATTTGGATTCCAGAAGGCAGAGAAATCGAAACTGAGATGGTGGTTAAATTTTTTAAGCCTTATACTGCATTTTAGGTAGCTTTTTTCCCTTCAATTAACAGGGTAATTATAGTAAGTATAAACAAAAATTTATATATGGAATGACATTTCTGTAAATTTCCAATTTACTATTTTTTATTATATAATGAAACTTTAATTTTGCATGACCTCCACTGGCTGCTATGGTTACTTTTGCTACAAAATTATTCTACACTCTTGCTGTAACAGTTTCCACACAGGACTGAGCACCCAAGGACCATACATGCTACAAGACCATTATTTTGTTAAGCAGAACTAGTAGCTATATTTCTAAAAACATGAATGTGGCTGTTAATTTGTTCAGCAGAGAAACATAACTCCTACGAGACATTACTTTTCAATTCATATCATAGGGCAGTTCAATTTGGGCTTTTTATACATAAATCTGAAAACGATCCACTACACAATCTGGTTTTTGTAACTTTAAAGACTACCTTCCTCCAAATATTCTGCTCTGGCTTTTACTAAGTCTGAAAAGAAAAAAAAAAAAACCACAACCCACCACCACCAACAAAAACAACAACCAAAAAAAACCCACCACAAAACAAACAAAATAAACGTGGGATAACAAAGCATTTTCTGCAGAGGTTTGTCAACCCTGGGGTAAACTTCATCCTTTGCAAGGTAGCTGCAGGGCCTATGTACAGAAGCACATGAAGAATTGCTTTAAAGTGTGGATACACTTTCAGTTTGCAATGACTGACAAAGTTTAGGCCCTTCACTTCTGGTTTCTGTCCTCCTGCCTCCCAGAGCAGATCTCACTCGCACTGTTTCCCACTTCAGTGCAGTGTTACCTGACACCAGGGTTTGAGCGAGGTTTGACTTTGCACTTTGGTCAATCAGGATCGTCCCTCTTAGTGTAACCACAAGCAGTAAAGAAAAAAGTACCAGGTCCAAGTGCAGTAAGCACTGTTCAAATCGCACAAATATTACACATAGGGTTTAATGTGCAATCAACATAAAAATGTAAAACTGAAAAAACACAATGTTACAAGCTCAGTCAACTACACAAAGATCAGAGAATGTTTAGGAACATTTCCACATCTTCCTTTAAATTAGATTACATGAGATTATTTAGCAATGCTTATGTATCATATTTCTCCACCTAAATCCAGAAGACATTTGGCTATGCTATTATTTTGGAAAGACATTTAACTCAGTACTCAAAATGATATGGAGTTATTTTGTTAACTACATCAAAATAGCAAAATGTTTCTAATTTGGACACAGGAGAGTCAACCATACTGAGTTCTGAAAAAATCATTGTTGGGTCATTTAGATGAATCCAACCCATCAGCAGCGTCATCCTTTTTCTCCAGCACTCTTTCCCTCCCACACACTGATCAATTCCATGCTACCTATTTCTTTTTCCTTTCATACCTCTTGCACAGTCCTTGAATCCACCATTAGCTTTTTAGACAGTTAAAAGAACACTTACTCATAAATTCCCTGTCAACAGCTGCTTCTCTTTCAGTACACAGCAAAGTTTTCACAACTTCTCTTTGGGGCAAGGATGGGGTGTCTGGATGCACGTTGCTCAGGTCAAAGCTCCCAAGAGGCTGAGCAATGGAGACAGTACTAAAACTCTGATGGTGCTGGCTGTGGTTGCTGCAGCCCCTTGTGATAAAATTCTTTCCTGAGAGCATAAAACGATAGTTTTGTTCTAAGAACAAAAAGTAACACTTAACACTGGTTAATGCACAGAGCAGATATGCTTTTTATTTTTCTTAACTTTTTTCTCTAAATTTCCACTTAGCCTTACACCACCTAACACATGTAAGGGCAGACTTTCCTTTGCTCCTTTGCAGCCCAATTGTTGCTGCTGTAAGATGATTTTTTAAAAAAAATATATGCCTTCCTTGGCAAAATTACTAGACGTCACACGAATTTAACTTGAAAAGTAGCCTACTAAATATATGAGTTCGTTGCTTGCCTCAAGGAACACAGAAACATATACCATATCACATGATATCCATATCATGATCCCAGCAAAACTATTCTTACTTGCTTTCAAGAAAACTTACTGAGTTCAGCTGCTCATTTTATGCTCCATACCTGAAATAACACTAACATAAACCTTCCGAAACAGCTCCTATGGTTTAGACATTAAGAAATCACCCAGATACCCTTGAAAACACTCTCTATTCTATACAACTTTGGGGTCTTTCATGAACTAAAGTTGAACAAGAGTTGTTCTAATCTTTCTAGGTGGAAAGATTGGTTATTAAATGCATTAATGGTTATTAAAGGCATAATAGGATTGTCAGAGCACAAGAACTGGACTAGCTGTTTTCCAAAGACTGCCTTCCTGAAATAGCAATTCAAAATGAATATGCATATCACACTTACTGTAACAACTGGATAAGCTTTTATTTTAAGCCACTTTTCTCGAATTTCAATATGAAATTAATTACCTAACATCAACATCTACTCTGCAACTGACATCTGCTTGTGAATCCTTGTTATTCTTGGTCATTTTTAGCAAACGTTATCTCATCATTACATGTATCAGAAAGCATAGAGAAATAAATTCCAAGCCATATAATAACTGTTTCCTCTGCTTTCCTATATACAGATAGTCTAAAAGTACTGTTTATTTGCTTAATGTTTAGTTCTCACTCAGACTTGAATACAGTAATTCCCTCTTTCTGCTAGTGTGACCCTGGAACGGACCAAAGACTCAGTCTCAAAGAAGGGACATAAACTGAAATTTAGTCGGAATTCAGATGACCAATTCCAAAACTGCAATATTTAATGCTGTTCAATTTTTTTGCACTAACACTCCTAAAGTACCTAGAAGTCTGCTGCTGTACAAACCTTCAAGCACCTTATTAATCTCAACCAAGATGGAAAGATTGGTTGAGATTATGATTGATTTCTTATGCTGGCAGCAACAGAACAGCAACTCCATCTGTCTTGCCTAGGGGCCTTGATTTGGTAGATGTTCTTAGAACATATTTCGTAAACTGGGCTGCATACAAAGTTCACTGGTAGCTGCTTCTTTCTGTTACAAAATGGCTAGATGCAGCCCCCGCGCATATCATTGTCTTCCCACTTCTCCACACCCTTCAAACAGTATCTCAATGAACACTGAGCTAAGATACCGGAAGCTGGAAGGACAGTGAAGGAGGGGTATTTAAAAGAGTAGCATTCTCCTCCAAAATCACTCTAATTACAGACCTCAGTCTTCTTTCTTAACAATGCTCTGGGATGCACAGAAAAAAAATTAAATTCATTAATACAGTGAGAAAAACAGAAGTTTGATTCTTTACAAAAGCAGCATTAACTTCTATTATATAAACACAAAGGTTTCAAGTATATTAGAAAGATAAAAGAGTGCCTGGGAATGTGTCCAGGCAAGCAGTATGGAATAAGTTCACATCCACACCAGCAACGTTTCCTCTGCTTTTGAGCAGGCTGGCTGCAGGCAAAGTGCCTGTTGCGAACAGTGTTTGGAACAAACTAACTCCTGAACTGGGCCTCAAAACCATTTGGGAGTTGCCAAATGACCGCAACTGTTCTCACAATACAACAGTCCAGGTTAATCCTTTCCTGAAACTATTTAAGGCACTGTTTAATTTCCTAGTATATATCTGGCCATCTGAAACGGAACTGAAACTGCGAACACTCTGGCTTTCCCTTCCTCAATTTTTCACCTAGAGCTAATTACACATCACAAAAAACAACTTCTTTAAGTACTCTTTTCCGGATTGCCCTGGACTACTTGGGAAAAAACACTCTCTGCCCTTTAGGCTGATTTTCATTTGTCAATAGTATTTTTTGAATAAATAGATTTCTCAGTTCTAGAAGTTACAACGTTTATCATAAATATTCTGCAAGTGGAATAATTTAGAAGAACTAGTGAAATTTTCAAAAGCCTATTATAAAGTTATAAAACTAAACCCATTTTAAAGTCATTTACACCTGGTATAAACTGCAGTTACTGAAGCAAGGCAAACTGAACGCATCATCTGGATGGTATTAGCTTGAAGAAGATACCAGCAGAACATGGTAGTTTGAATATCAAATTAGTTACTTTGAATTATTATATTTTAATTTACTTTTTAAGAACAGACTAAACCTGGTATCCCAGTTCACATAAAATGCAAAATCTCATCCAATTAATGGCACCAATCCCAAAAGCCCAAAACTGGCTGTCAAAGGGACTTGGGTTTCCCTGAGAACACATTACTTATCAAAATTGGACTGAAGTTCTTAAGTCTGCTGGGCAATTCCAAAAAAATTGTTCGGTGTCATTTTGTTTCTTATGCACTCTGTTTCTTACGACTACTTATCTCTAAAAAGAGAGTAAAATACCCTCCTGGTTATTACCGTTGCTTGGGTATACTGGGATTTCCACCAACACAGATAATTCAATATGATTTGAAGATGTACATGAAATTAAAACTTATGCTAGTGTATCTGAGTTTGCAACAGAATAAGTATTAAAATAGCTTATTAACTTCACTATATATCAAATATTTTAATGTAAAACTTTACATAAAAAATTTTAACACAGCAACCAAGTTATTATTAACTATTCTCTTCACACAACAAATTTATGGAAGAAAAGAAGTGTACTTCTCTAGGGTTCATGTATAGGTTCTAGCACTACTTTTATTTCAAGCCCAAGATCTGTGACAGTTATGTACCCCAGAAAAAGCAATCGGAAAGCAATAGAGGAATTCTGGGATTTCAGTTCTTCAGAAATCACTTTCTGATGCTTTCAGTCATGGCGAATATTAGATTTTAAGTGCTACATACCCAAAGGCTCTCCTTCTTGTGTTGGTAACTCCAGGTCACTGGAAACTGACACTTCATCAACAATAAATTTTGACAATTCTGTCCCAAGATATGTAACCTGCACAAAGAAATCTAAATGGATAACTCATTGATTGATTTAGTGGGGGTTTTTTTGATAGGTGTAAAAATTTCACTTTTCTTATAAAAGGGAGTTTATGCACTTATCAGTCTAATTTGTGTCTGTCAAGATTAAGGAGGAATTCTGCTAATTTGAGTTCTAAATGAAAGAAAAAATCCACAAGCACAATACAGTCCATGTGCAAAGCCCTCTAAACTCTGCCAGTATGTTTGCAACGTTTGTCTGTGACACCCTGACATTTCAATAAGCTTGCTCTTTTTATTCAAACTACCTTTCAGCTTTTTCTATCCCTCTGAATCATTATTAAAAGGAAGTTTTCAAATACATTAATGGCAACAGGCAGTTTAAAAATAATATGGGAATATTACAGGATGAGGATGGTCAGCTCACAAACAGGGACAAAGACAAGCCAGGGGTGTTTAACACTTTCTTTGCCTTTGTCTTCAACATGGAATACACATCAAAGAGGTCTCAGTGCCCTGAGCTGGAGGACCATGACTGTGAGAACGATCAACTCCCAGTCAACCCTGAAATTTTGAGGGATCTGCTTCTCCAGCTGAATCCCTACAAATCTATAGGGCCTGATGGGATTCATCCCAGAATCCTCAAAGAGCCGGCTGATATCATTGCAAAACCTCTCTCAGTGATTTTTGAGTGGTCTTGGGGTTCTACAGAGGTCCCAGCTGAATGAAAGCTGGTGAACACTGTCCCAGTTTCCAAGAAGGGCAAGAAGGAGAACCCTGGAAACTATAGGCCTGTCAGTCTAACTTAAGTGCCTGGTTAAATTATGGAGATTATTCTGGGAAGTACCGAAAAAAACCTGAAAGACAACAAAGTCACTGGTCACAGCCAGCACAGCTTCATGAGAGGAAAGTCCTGCTTAACAAACCCGATTTCCTTTTATGACAAGGTAACCCTCCAAATTTATCAAGGGAAAGCAGCTGATGTAACTTTTCTGGATTTCAGCAAAGCTTTCAATACTGTCTCTCACACGATCCTTCTGGTTAAAATGTCCAGCACACAGCTGGATAAGCACATCATGTGGTGGGTGAGCAATTACAGGGTAATAGTGAATGAGGTAACATCAGACTGGTGACCTGTCACTAGTGGGGTTCCACAGGGCTCCATCTTGGGCCCTGTGCTCTTCAATATCTTCATAAATGACTTGGACGGAGGACTGGAAGGGATAGTAAGAAAGTCTGCAGATGATGCAAAACTGGGAGAAGCTTCTGACTCCCTTGAATGCAGGGAGGCCTGAGGACTGGGCAATCACCAACCATATGAAATTGAAAAAGGGAAAGTGCAGGATTCTGCACCTGGGATGGGGCAACCCTGGATGTACAGACAGACTGGGGAATGAGATGCTGGAAAGTAGTGTCAGGGAAAGGGACCTGGAGGTCCTGGTTAAGGACAAGTTGAATATGAGTCAGCAGTGCCCTGGCAGCCAGGAGGGCCAACCCATGTCCTGGGGGGCATCAGGCAAAGCATCACCAGCTGGTCAAGGGAGGGGATTGTCCCGCTCTGCTCTGCACTGGGGCGGCCTCACCTTGAACATTGTGTGCAGTTTTGGGCACCGCAATATAAGAAAGATATTGAGCTCTTAGAGAGTGTCCAAAGGAGAGCAACAAAGATGGTGAGGGGCTTTGAGGGGAAGCTGTATCAGGAGCAGCTGAGGTCACTTGGGGTGTTCAGCCTGGAGGAGACTGAGGGGAGACCTTATCGCGGCCTACATGTTTCTTCGGAGGGGAAGAGGAGGGGCAGGCACTGATCTCTTCTCTGTGGTCACCTGAGGGAACATCCTGAAGTTGTTTCAAGGGAGGTTTGTATAGGACAAGAGAAAAAGGTTCTTCATCCAGCGGGAGTTGGGTGCTGAAACAGGCTCCTCAGGGAAGTGGTCACAGCACCAAACCTGACAGAGTTCAAGAATGGATGATACTGTCAGGCACAGGACAGTCCTGTGCAGTGAGGCCAGAAGCTGGACTCAATGATCCTTGTGGGTCCTTTCCAACTTGGTATATTCTGTGATCTTTAACACTATTCTTTCAAATCCCTGATAGCTCACAGTGCAAGCATTCCACATTCTTTCAACACTTATGAGTAGTTCATCTCTGTACAGCTAAAGTAATGTAGCTCTGTCGTTGCTGCTCCCTCAGTAAAAGTAAGAAGACCTTTTAAAATTTAGGCTCGTATTCTTTTCTGCTTTAAGAAGTGTACAGAGATCTAGATTAGTGAAATTTGTTATATCCATTTATTATTGCTATTTTTGGCAGTAAAATCAGGCCTACCTTATTCCACACATACTTCCATGTCACAGAAATATCACTTCCTAGTAGGTCTTTAACCCATTGAACTGGATTCTGCAGTATTCGTCCTTTACTGGTTCTGATCTTGCCATTCTTTAAGATTGTAGCTTTATGACTAAATTCCTAAAAAAAAAAAAATTTCAACTCATATATTAAAAAATATGAAATACCATTCTTGAAACATGAAAAATGCTGAAGAACAATATAGCTGAAAAGTTGCAGGTAACTCTCTTTTTCTCTAAAAGTGAAAGAATTTATTGCCACTATCATAAACTGTGTGATGTAAAATAAGAGGATTTATTCCACCAGAAAAAGATGTTGTAGCCAATAAGAGAACAAATCTCCCTATGTGTTTATCAAAATTGTATTTACATCTTATTTCCTTCTAGACATAACAAGGCTTTGAATAAATTAATTTGCAACAGTTAACTCAGGCACTCATAGGAGGCAAGTCGGTGCAACAAGGAACTGCTACTCAAATGCAATCTGCCTTACACATATGGAATATGCATGTCACAGTGAAATTCCAGCAAAATGCAAAGCTGAAACCTATTTGCATAAAAATTTCCCTTATATCAAGGGATATAATTTATATGTTTTAGGAGGAACCTGACAGTCTTATCTTATGCAAAATTAAGTCTAAAAGAACTTATTGTTAATGCTCCTTTGATAACGTAAATACAGCTCAGTTCTGCAAACACAACCTCCAGAAGCACAACTCATTGTGCTTAATAATTGTTTATAATTGAGCAAAATAAATAACTGTTAAACAATTGTTTATAACAGAGCAAGTTATGGTTTTGTCATATTGGTCTTGGTTAGACTAACAGAGCTAAACAGTGGAAAAATCAGCTGTTGATAAACTCCATTAGAAGTGAGTAAAGTCACTTATCATGCATGAGGTTAAATAAATAAATCAGAATAAGAGGATGATCCAGCAAATATTGAACCACCTCCTACCATATCCACTGGCTTGGGGTGTCCGTAAGAATTTAAATTAAGATGATTAACCCAAATGTTTTGATGAGCACTCAATCCAGTTCACAGTTTCACAGCCTAGGCCTACAGAATTTAACAACTGCATTCAGCCTGTCCAAAGCTAACCATAGGTATGGACTATGCACCAGCTGTATGTTGTTAAGTACATCTCTATAACGAAAAAGGAAAATTTATTGATCATCTCCTCTTTGCAACGCAACAGACACTGGTTTCTAAATTTCAATCTCTATAGCACGTTCTTCCAAGACATAAATGAATGTCATTTGCATCCTAGTAAAGATCACTGACTTTTCTACACTCTGAACCCAGTACTTCCACAAGGGGTCATAATTCCTTAAGATCCACATGCATCAAGCTGGTATCAAAGATAGAGAAATGACAGTAACCATACTGAATTCTTCATCCTTTGAATTAGTCATCTTGCAGTTCAAAGGAATATTATATGTTCTTTAAAGAAAAGAAGCATGTCTACATACCTATCATACGGACCACTGTAGAGCCTTGTGATTTACACTATCTTGTTACTAACACAAGACCACATGAAATGGCAACTCTCAACAGAAAAGCATTCCCGAGCAGATTACAGGTGTAGAAAAAAGTGTCCTTTCTACATTAACTCCATCTGGTGAGCTGGCTGAAGAGAACCTTTCATGTTTTTATCAATATGCTGCCCTGCAAATAACTAGCCCTCATGTGGGAATTCAGTCAATAATTCCCTCATTTGCTCAATACTAAACCAGGCCCCTGCCAGCTGCCTTGCAAATCTGCTCTGTATTTGGAGGGACATGGACACGCTTTTCTACTAAAAAAGAGGTTTCTTTTTATTTTTTTTTATTCAAGTATGATTTGTATCAGACTGTAAAATTAAAGAACCAGTTAGCCTACAAACAAAAAATTTTGCACGTATTTATGCCTATGAAATCCTTGATGTCACAATTCTTTATTTGAGGGACTTGCTTCCAAAAATCACATTAAATCACAAAACCTTTACGCTCTCGCTCCTTCCTTCTGGTTCTAGCAGTAGGAAATATTAACAAACTGATAATGCAAAGTCAAACACAAATTTTACACATGGAATAGTCTGCGTGTTATAGTTACAGGTCGATAAAAGATTTCATCCATAGCATTTTCCTTTAAAACTCATAAACAATTATCTGTAACCAATGAACAAACACATTCAATAATGAGTGCTGAAGATACAGACTGAACTATGAGAACTGCTGATTTCCCATTTTAGTGTGTGGGGTTTTTTCATGATACGCTAATATTAATATTATTAGATCTCAACAATTACCTGCAGTTTGAATTCTAAAACATTTTTTCCTGGCTTAATCCTTCCCAATTCAAGCAGATCTATCAATTGAAGCTTTTTCTTACTTTTCCGTTCATACCTCACTTGTTTTTGTTCCCGTTCCTGGTTACTATAGCTCTGTGAAGATTTCTCACTAACATTTACTTGAGAATCTCTATTTGAGGTAAGATTTGTAAGCACCAAGTTGGTATTAAAAGAATTCTCACTACTCAAAAGGACCATTTGCTGCGAAGTATTAGGGAAGTTCTTCATAGGTGCTAAAAAATTTACTTGCTGCTGCTGGAAAGCTTCTTTCTTGTTGACATATCTGTGTAGACTCCCATGTGTAATACCCTGCAGGCAGTCACTGGCTGGCTGACAGACATTCTTATTCACAATATTTAATGTGTTGGTCACTGAAGTGGGATTTAAAGACTTGTTTCCTTGTTCTGCAAATGCTACACAATCAATGTCTTTTTGCTGTGAGCATCTTGTTTTAGCAGTGGAAACAGTAGGTTCTGAAGGCAATGTCACCACTTCCGCAGCGTTTGTCAGCTTTGACATGTTGTCAAAGGGATATTCTCTTACACTGTTTTCAGATGCCAAAGCATGATCAGAAGCCTCTTTGCTTCTAATTGCTTCTTTATTTGCTCCTGTCTCATCCAAGCAGATGTGTGGATGCTGGCTGAAGTCCTGAGCTGAAAATCTATTTTCTAAAGAGACATGTACTCCTACTCTGTTTCTATTAGGCATGCTGGCACAAAGCCCCATACTAAATGTAACTACATCAGGACATACGATTTCATCAGCAGTTAAACTTTGTCTTACATCATTTCCATAGAAAATAACGCAGTTTGAGCTTTGCTTCTCTGAAGATGATGAACTGCAAATTTGCTTTGTTTTTCTGTAACTTTGTATTTTCTGCACTAATTTTTCCTGGTTTTGGGCAAGAGTCAACAGACTCTTTTGCCTAGAAGCAAGGTTAACTAATTGTTTCCTCAGTGCTCCTTTTTTGAAAGATTCCACTGAAGCCCTACAGAAAATAAAATAAAAAAGGACATCAGAGTTACTGCAAACACAAAATAAAGACAGTTTAATAGATGTAACCTACTAAGAACAGGAATATGTTTCAAAGGACTCTGCCAACACCTAAAATTTCAACAATATTTTTATCCTGTATGAAGTTTAAAGTTCAAATCACAGGCTTATGGATAAACTGTAGAATCTCACAGCAGGATGTACAAGTAAGATGCAAGTAAGAATCCCATAGAATTTGGATGGAAAGCATCAAAACAACCTTGTACTCCTATACCACCCTTAATTCACAGAATCCAAACTGGGTCTATATTATAGCTGTCTGTTCTTTTATTACCACAAATAATAATAGTTCATTGAATTCAATGCCTTTCAGGTTCTAATTTGGAGCCTTCTAAAATGAGCTCAGGACGAACTACTGAAGGGTGATACTATCAGAATTTTTTTATGGTGCACATAACAAAATATTTTGTGAAGCTACACTAAAAGTACCACATGACCATTAAAAAAAGAGAACAGAGCAGTTTAGGATTACCTGCAGGGTATCTGCAATACCCAGAAATATTTATCACTTCCCTCTGGAGCAGTTTCACTCTCAGTATTAAAATGCAAATAAATTTCTGTAGGTATTAATTTTACTATCCTTGTTTCTTAATTCAGTCACCAGTTTGTTCACAAGGCTAATTTGGAACCTGAATTCCTCATAATTTTTTTTATTATCTGGTAATTTACACATTACATTTTATAGCTGGCAAAATGGCTCGTGGCAGAAATATTTCAGTCTCTGCTCAACAGCCTGTATGTTTTGCTATGGGTCTACCTGGGAGCTGTACATGCTGCTTTTACATAATCAACCAATTCTGCTCACACAAACATTATGGAGACATCCTCAGAAGCTGGCCTAGAAAGCATCCATTAAACAGGATGCTATATTCTTATCTCGCCACATGACTAGCACTGAGGTAGTCCCTCTCAGAAGGAAGAAAAAAGAAGCCTTGTGAGAGCTAGAGTCATGAAGCTGACAATTCACACAGTCCATGCTCACACTAAGGTGAGCACTCCTATCCTACATTTGAGTTGTCCTCACAAAACATGAATGTCTGCAAGCATGCTTCAAGCCATTTCTTTAAATGGCTCTTGTGGGCTCTTGGCTGAACACTCCTAATCTAGGGGTGCTAAAGAAACAAACCAGAGGCAGAGACACTCCAAATAGTGTCTTGAGTTGCTACTACTTTCCCCCATGATACAGCTCAAAATTAATGTCTTTGTTCAATACCTCCATTTCCCAATTTCTTCTTAGGTATTTTTCCACACTTTTTGCATGTTCACTACTGAATTTCAATGCTCACTGTGTGCACAGCAACTGATTTGTATGCACTAGCTCAGCTGAAGTTCTTCCTTGATGTAAACACTTATTGGAGGTAACTGAAGCCAGTGTGGATCATGCTCCCACAAAATCTGAATGAAAACCACATAGATATACTTTCATGCCACTCCTAAAAACTTCTAACACTACTTCTATGAAGAACAGCTTCCTATCAATATAATCCCTCTATTCTACTTACCTGTATTTTTTAGCAAGGGCATCCCTCTCTGTTTTCTGGCTTGCAAGCATTTCATTCAAAGTATCTTGTATTTGAGACAGCCTTTGTATATACACATCTGTTCAATATTTTGAAATAATCAAAATTATGATGGCAATAAGCAGTAGAAAATAATTACAGTAATATCCTTTTTAATGTAGCAAATACATAGCCAGAGTATGAAGATATAGTTATAGCAGTACCTTATACTGTCATGCATACTGATAGCTCTTTACAACTGGATTACTTTGAATGAAATTCTTCAGAATTAAATGCAAGTTTAACTTAAAGAAAATAGTTTGTACTGCAAAATTCTGAAGTGCACGTACTTTGTCTAGATTAAAGAACTGCCCTATGGATGATAAGCACTGAAAATTTTGAAGTTCTTTGTGTTGCAAAGAGCTACCTACCATGACAATTATACTGAGGATACCTGCAGAAGTTACACAGAAGGTGCATAAAACTTTTATGTTTGAAGTATTATAAAATAGTTTAATGAACCAAGACTGTTCTAAGTTACATACAATGATAAAAGCATATCTATCAAGTTTTCACAGTTTCAAACCCATATTATAAACCAGAATGATAAATTGTCCCTTTTTGTTAGTTATATTCTTCTAAATTAAGAAGAACAAATATCAACTCCTCTTTATATACCCTATCTCTTAAGACATATAATATAAGGGAGGGCTAGAAGTCACGACCAGTGGATACCACCGGGATAATTTGCTAAACATGCTCAAAGTCTACAACAATCAGTGTAAGCTTTCCTTAATCATGAAAAACGAAATTATAGGATTAAAATTAGCATTTGTAAAATCCAAACTGGTTTTACAGCATCTACCAGATATTTACTTACTCAGTAATACATACATACTGCTCTTATTAAGGCAGCTTAATAGCGAATTTGAATCTGCTATTTACAGGAAGTTTCGTGCACACAAATACCTTGAGATTTTATTCTATGTTTTAAGTTTGTCAATGTACTTCCATGTTCTTGTTCAGTCTTGTGCCTCTTCAGTAGTAATGATTATGACTTAGTTTAAGATGTGCTATATTATTAATGCTTTTGCCAGTAGTGGTAACAGAGCACCATGTTCATTTCTCTCATACTCCTAAACAGGAGAAGTCTGATAATTCTTTTCAATCTTTTTATGAAATTGCACTTATCTCTGTCCATAGGCTCCTGCTTATTGTATCATCTACCTGCTTGTCAAACATTTTTCAAGAAAACATACCTATTTTAATTAAGAGTTCATACATCACAAATTTGCTAAACTATAAATCTGCATACTTCCATATTTCACATTTCTTTTTAAAGGGAAAAATTTACTTGTAAATATAATTTGAAAGCTCCACCCTATATTCAGGAAAATAGATTTAAAACCAAACCCTTTCTTTCTGTCATGAATCCAAACTGTTTCATGGGCATGCGCTGCTCCAAAGTGAACAGCCCTGCCTAGGTGGCAAAGGTAGCTGGGGAGAGAGGCCTTCATCAAAGGCGTTCCTACAGCAAGCTATGCCAACTTGAAGAGTCACGGCACAGACACAACAGACTCCAACTGCTTCACAGCAGCAGCATCGTGATCTCCTAGAAGTCACTGTCACTTAGTAAATTCTTGAGATTAAGCTGAACTGAGATTTGATAGCCTAAGACAAATTACACCTCTGGGCATCAGCATTTCTGAAACTGTCCATCATCCACAGTGTTTGCTTAAAGAATTCTCTTTTTTCTCTCATAAATTATTTCAGGCTCCTGGAAGTCCTGCCACAGTAGACTGAAAATGCTGCATCTGTTGCTTTACATACAGACATAGATGTTCTTGATCATGGAGAGGCTCATGTACTTGTAACTGAATAATGCTGCCAACAGTGGGCATTCTTATCTAATGATCCATTTTCATATAACCAGTTCACTTGAGATCTGTGCCTCCAAGTGGCATGCAATTTTTTGTCAAAATATTAATTCCTATTTAAACTGGAAATACTTCAGGAAGTGCACTTACCTGAGAGATGCTATTAAAATCTTATTCTCTAAAGATATATTTTCCAGAGGAAATAATCAAAATATATTACATGCAATAACATTTAAAAAAATTATATAACCAAAGATATCTACCCTCTAAAAATAGGTGAAACACTTGAATTTATGTCTACCTGCATCTTTGGAAGTTGTCAGTTCATATAGCAACAGTTCTTTCTGCTTCTTTTCTGTATTTTGTATGGCAGCAACAGACTTCTGTTAACGAACACAAAATTACATTAAGAAGCAGAGCCAAGTGCACCATAAAAACAGGCCATGACACATGGCCTGCGGTTTAAATATTGGTGGACTCAAGTCATTCCAGGCAGGGAATTACCATGTGAAGGGAATGGGGCGCTGGTAAGACAGACATACATACTGTCAAGGGCTTGCTCTGCAAGGGGTTGTCACAGTCTGGTTTTACCTAGGCATTCAAACTAGTCCATACTCAGAGACCCACCTCTGAGCACACTGCAAGGATTAGACAGTGAAATTCAGCATGACAGCATCACCTAGGCAATGCAGATACAGCCTACAGATACCAGCAAGAGCTCTCCTGACAATCTGTGCAAAAATCTTCCTGGTTGTTTTACATTAAGATAAACGATTTCTAAATACCTTCATCATGAAGCCAATTCATTACCGTTTCAAAAAGAACCCTTTTGGAAACATGATGAAAAGCCTCAGGACTCATGACATTTTTTCTATTCATATAACCAGTAAGAAATATAAGTATTGAATACCTTTTGTACAATAAATGTAAGTGCACAGGAATCATTAAAAGAGCGAATAATAAACACACTTGTATATGTAAAACACAACTTACCTATTATAAACCTCTGCATGATGCTGTTTTTACATACATTTTAATGGATTAATTATTTACATTATATTTTTATATTATTCAGTCAGCAAATGTCACTATGCACTACTACACTAGGAAGCAGTTTAACAAAACTCTGTTATCTATACTTACCATACTGTATTTCTCATGTTGTGGCTCCCAAGCTGCATCATCATTTTTACAGTAGTCAAAGCAACAATGTTCTGATTTCCTCTCTCCACAATTCAGAAAAAATAAATAAAATTTAATATGAATTTGCAGAAGCATAATAGGTTACAAAGATACAATTGCAGATCAAATAATAAAAAATATCTTGTATAAAAATGAAATCAAATTTAGGTAGCATAAGGAAATAAGTTCTTAAAGTCAACACTTTGAAAACCACTTATTTCCCTTCCTGTGATGGAAAATATGGATAATAAGAAAATTTGAAGACCTGAATATTTTCTTATACCTCATTCTCTCAAAAAAACCAAAACCCATTCATGTATCCCATTTTCTGTAAATAAATTAATATAATTCAATAGTTAACAGAGTTAAAAATATAAGTGCCAGGCAATACGCAGCTCCACAAATCAGCACTATTTGAATGTACATTTTTTTTCTTAAGACTATGGGGTAATACTATAATTTACATTACAAAACCAACATACCACTACCTTCAATTGTCGGAACGGGAAGTAGAGAGTCCATAGCACTGTAAGACTTCAGAAGTTCTTTCATTTCTTCATCACAAGCTTGATCCACAGCACTTTCCCCTGCTCCATTCCTCTCATAGGGATTCGCTCCATGCTGCAGTAGAATCCTGACTGCCTATTATGTATTTTTATTATTTGTATTGTGGTAATTCTTACTGTGGACAACTATGTGTGTTGTATCTAACATAAATCACAAATAATACACATACAAATAAGATACTCTAAAACCTGTTACACTTGCAATCCAAATTAAACAAACCAGATTAACTGGCTATTAAGACTTCCATCTTACATTTCTAATTTTTCCATTAAAATACATAAATAGTTCACAAATTGTCATTAAACCTATCACTTTTATGGTACTGTTATACAAAGCAATTACAAAACATCATATATCTAAATTAAAAGGAGCTGGTCAATTGAATTAAGACCAAAATGCGAAAAAGAAGTGGATTTTTTTCTTTAATAGCAGTTTCGGTTTTCTGGTTACATGAACTGATAATTTTTTTCCTAATTCCAAATAACTTGCAAATCTGCTTAATTGTAAAATGTGGAAATGAGATTAGTGGCACCAGCGGAATCATCTACACCCTAAAATTCAGATTATATGAAAGTGCTGATGAGGTCAGAGCTCAGATGTTAAAGAATTTTCGTATGTTTGATTTCCCCATTTTAGCATTTCTTCTTATTTCTTACACTCAGAGTGTAGTTAAGTATGAGAAAGTATCAGAAAGACAATATTGTCTTGAAGTTCAGAATGTTCTCCATTGGTTTTCCCTTGCAATACTGAATAATAAGCTTATATGTTTGCAAGAACCCTAATAATAGTTTGGCACCAGGTCTGTGAATCATCCCCTTTGACTGTTTTTCACAGAAAAAGATAAATGTGATCAAACATGTTCCTCTGACAGATACAGAAGCAGTATGTTTGAGCCAATCTGGCATTATCTTCTTTACACTCAGTTCACCAGAACTCACTCTGCCAAAAGAACACTTTATTTATTTGTGTGCAGTGCTGGGCCCCACAATTTAAGAATGATGTGAAGGTCCTCGAATGTGCCTGGAGGAGGGCAACAAGACTGATGAGAGGGCTGGAAGCCATGTCCTGCGAGGAGCCAGTAAGGACTTTGGGCTTGTCTAGTTTGGAGAAAAGGAGGCTGAGGGACAACCTGAAGCTACAGTTTCCTGAGCAGGGGAAGTGGAAAGGGAGGTGTCCATCTCTTCTCCCTGGGATCCAGTGATAGGATGTGTGGGAATGGTTCACGCTGTGCTAGGGTAGGTTTAGACTGGACATTAGGAAACATTTCTTTACTTTGAGAGATGGTCAAACACCGGAATGGGCTTCCTGGAGAGGTGATCAATGCCCCAAGACCGGGGCATTTGGACAATGCCCTTAACAACATGCTTTGATTTCTGGTCAGCCCCAAAGAGATCAGGCACTTGGACGAGATGATCACCATAGGTCCCTTCCAGCTGAAATAGTCTATTCTGTAGAACCATTTTTAAACAGCAGGGCTACAGTCTTTACAAAAAAGAATTTTTTTACAATGGAGATGGTGAGACACTGAAACAGGCTGCCCAAAGAAGCTGTGGACACCTCATCCCTAGAAATGTTCAAAGTTGGGTAGGACAGGGCTTTGGGCAAGCTGAGCTAGTAAAAAAATGTCCCTGCCCATGGCAGGGGCTTTGTGGCCATATACTCCTCTGCTTAAGCCATAACCACCAGGGGTAGCTGTGGTGGTTGCATCCAGCTTACCTGGACTTTGGGGGATGAATGGCAATAAAGTAGCCAAAGACTGTCTGGAACAGTGACCCAGGTGTCTTGCTGGTATGCGAATATGACTGTAAGTAAATCATCTTACTCCATAAATAGTGGACAGCCCTGGGCTCTTCAAGCTCTCCTGCGTAGCAGTGGTCTGCACACCAGGATCTCCCCTTGAGTAGGGACAACTCTCACAGGTTGCTCCTCAAGACTGAGAGATTCCTTGCCACAACAGATTCTCAGTGATTAACTGTATGCTAAACTTTGATATGTTACCTAACTGATAGAAAGGATTCATTGTGCACACATAATCCTTTAGTTACAAACTGCTGACTAAGTCTGAGACCAAGTCTGGATCTAGTCATCTGAGATGGAGTTTAGAAAGCAAAGGGGTCCTTTCTGGACATCATGACTCAACAGGAGGGTCCCCCTTCCGGTTCTGTTCCTGTCCTCTATGCAGCAAATAATCAATGTATCTTGCCTCAAATCTTGTTAAACAACTGTCGCATTTACCAGTGAACTTTGCTAACTCACTCTTTTCTATCAATAAAGTATATTGTTCCTTCTCTCTTACGTGTGAAATGCATCACTCCACTCTGCAGCATCACTCCTCCCTGCAGCAGGGTTGGACTAGACAATCAAACCAAGAATGCTCAATTTTAGTATTAAAAAGCCCAAACCTGGGAGAAAACCAAAAGAAGTTTCTGAATTTTTATGATCTGTCTGCTGTACTAAAAAAGGCAACTAACTGTACAGTTTCAACTGTCACTATTGAAAAATATTTCTTTCTCTAATTTGGATCACTTTAAAAATCCTACTTTATTTCCTAAATCCAAATCTACACTAAAATTGTATTAATAACTTGAATGAAAAGAGGATTTTGCTCTGCTGACCCTCTGCTGGAAATCAGCTTCAGGAAATCTTACGAAAAAGAAAAATGTACCTCCAAATAATTGCCAGAAACAGCATCGTGTATTGGTAAAACACCATCCAGACTTCTGCTGTTGACATCAGCACCTGCTTTCAGTAATTCTAAGATCACATCAGTAAATCCCCCACTGGAAGCTTCGTGAAGTGCTGTCCAACCTAATAAAGGCAAGACGACACACAGCATGCATCTGATTTGGAAAGATCCATACAGATCGCTTAGTAGTGATTATACATTTTGCTGCATTTAAGATAAATCTTATACAAATAACCATCTTGAAAAGCCAAGGTCAACTATTTTCTGTGTAATTCAGTTTACCTCAGAGAAAAATGTAACCAATATTAAGCAGAAAATATACTGCTTTCTTTTCTACTACAGTACTAAAAATAATAAAAGAAACAAAACACTGGAGCAGAAAAACTCTAGAAATTCAGAAGCACAACATTAATAGTCTCATTTCTAATCTCACTACCGTTGTATAATATTAAGTCTGCCAGGCATCTAGAATAGAATACAAGGCATTTTGAGAGTATGAAAACAGAAATATGTTATACATTTGGGCAGAGAAAAAAGAAAAGATAATCTTGTCATCTGGTTTTTGTCCTTATTTCTTAAGGAAATAATACCTGTCTGAATGTGCTTCACACACATACATATACATGTGTATGAGCATTATTTCTCTCACCAAACTTTCAAGTTCACTTTCTGTACACATCTCTGAAAATGTGTTCTTCAGCAGAGAAGCAAGACCCTATTAATACCTCTGCTGAGAAAAGGTCTGCATTACTTCCACGCTGAGACACAAAATCCAGGTATTCACTGATTGTGCTTGCACTTGTTTAATGAATTCCTTTTCTCCTCACAATTTTAAGTCAAGAATCCATATTTATACTACAAATTATGTAAAACTGTATCATAAACAAGCCCATAAGAGAGTAATTTTCAAACCTGCATAATCCTGTTCATTGACACAAATTCCAGATGATATCAGCGCCTTCACCAAGGACAAATCTCCTCTCTTAGCAGCAATATGCAGCTGAGTTTCCCCTTTTTCGTTTCTCTTAATTTTCTTCTTTCGTCCAGTTCTTGAATTACGGGTAGTGTGTACAATTACAGGTTCTTTTCTGGTAGATTCTAACAGCATATTGGGTGTTCCTTAAGAAATTTTTGCACAAAGAATGTTTAATTATAAACAGAAAATTAAGCTTCATAACTCATTTGAATTACTGTAAATGTGTGCAATACTGTTGCTTTAATTAGTCAATAACATTAACTGACTACATCAAAAGGTTAAAAGGTAGTGTGTAAGAGCTCAGACAACAAACAGACCCTAAACAAAAGAAGTTAAAGTTCAAATCTAGATGATTTAACAAGGGTACAACAAATGTGGGATGAAACAAAAGGTAACAAGGTTAAAGTTCTATACTGTACAGAGATAGGGAGTATGTTATGTTTCTTCATGGACTGCTTTCAAGATACCAGGCGTGGCTGCTAAACACATAAACTACACACATAAATGTATTTAAGAAACCATATAAAACTATATCAGTTCCTAATTCTGTATCGGGAAAAGATAGATACGTGTGTATACATATATATATATATATATATATATACACACACATATGCGTGTATATAGTAGCATAGATAAATTGTCTTTTAATTAAACCTATGCAGGATTGGACCCATAATTGTAAATAAACTTGATTTAATCCTTACTGGTTCACAGAGCAAACAACGCCTACTTTAATTTTATCATGTGATCATCAGACAGGTTCTAATTCTGAAACTAATTCAAATTATAAATTCAAATTGAAATACAAAAAAAAAACCCAGATGACCAAAGTACTGATTATGCATGTAGAGTAAGGACAACCCCCTTCTCAAACTGCAACCAAAAAGACAAGGTATATAAATCTTCAAAAGCTCTATCATGCATGTCAGCTTTTTAAAAACTCCTGTACTTTTCATTTTAATATCATGCTATCAATATTTTCTTAAAAATTCACAGTGGTCTTTCTCTGTTCTCTTGAAAATCTGTAATTCATTCAAAAAACCTGAAAGTGTAAGGTTTAAAACGAGCATTTTGCATGCTCTTATTCTTGGAGATTTTGTCAATTTATTCCTATGAACAATTAGTTGCTGCATCTTCCTCTTCTCATCAGACAAGCTGTTTTCTCAAATATGTGCGGTCAGCAGTATCCACTGGTATCAAACATCTTCCATGATTTGACAGCTGCCTTTCTTCAGGCTCCTCCTGCACTCTGGAAAATTTGCTTTTCCAATGTTTCCTTGAAGGTAAACTACTGAGCTTGTCATCCAAGACTATTTGCAAGAACACGAAATGATATTAGAGACAGATATTCACTGAGGATAGATCCATACTAACTTTAAACTATCCTGTTCAGGCACTGCTCCAGCCAGACTATGGTGGCATGGAGCTCACGTTAGGCTTTTCAAACCTGTCTGAAAGCATTCAGGTAGTCCTCTTTGCACTGTGGGTGCTTGGCCCACACTGTATTGGCAAACAGAAAAGCTCAAGAGTTCATTTTTAAAATGAAAACTGAGATTCTAGAGCACACAGAGCCATGACATTATTAAAATACTTCTCCAATTTGAGACCTACTTTTCCATAAGATAATGTATTGTGTTTTGTCTAAAAGCTTCTGGGTCTGAACTCCCAAAGCAATCATCTGCTTTCTGGTTCTTCCTTTTCTTTCCCTTTGATTCATGGGAGAATGTCCAAGGGACTGTTTACAGACATTTAAGAAAAAAAAGGCACACAGCAGCCCATTACGCTAATGACCCTTAGCAATACTGGCAGCCAGTGAACAGAAATAATTGCAGAGTTTTCCAGTTAAATTGCCATGCACAACAGTTTGCTTCACGGCTGTTAGGAAACATTTGCAAAAGCATAATGGGACACTGGTATGTGAATCAAAATACTGGTCCTCTGTTGGATGCACTGCCAGGTGGGTCATGAGCAGGAAAGATCCAGATCTTGGCAAAAACAAAGTCCACTCAGTACAGTATAAAGATAAAATGAACAGATTACAGTAACCAGCAATCAGGCTAGATCAGGCTGACATACCTCAACAACTTCAACTTTGTGCTTAAAAAAGACATTTCAATACCTCAACATTGGTCTAAGAGCAAGGTTGAACTGTAATAAAAGAAGCAAACTGTTTGTACCTTCCTTCCGTATAAGCACATTAGGAATGTTGGGAGCCTAGTAAGTGACCGACTGTAGATGACAGCAGCCCTGCATCATTTCAGAAGAAAAATTTCTATTCAAGAATAGAATAATATAAGGAAGAGCAGTGGGAGGTAGGAACAATCAGATGACATACTGTGGCCAGTTAATGAAGAAAAGGCATAAGAGAGCAAAAATCTGAAAACTCCAAAAGTAAGAAAACATTATCCCATCTTCCCTTTTTTTCTACTGCAGTCTGAATGTCATTGTCCTGGACCCCAAACTTATTAAGGCCTTCAGTTGTACAAAGGGCTATACCTTCTTGCACCGCCTCTCAAATGGCAACACTCTCCTGGTACAAAGGGAATAATTAAATTTTATCTGAACAAAATATTACCTGAAGAATCTCTTTTGAGGAAAAAAGCAGCCTGGGAAATGCTATTTCAATGGAGACCAAAATATAAGACACACATTCAGAATAAAGTTTTTTAAATCATAATTTTATATATAGGAGGCAAAAAATAGAAATAAAAAAATCCAAACCCGTATTAATGCACACAGACCTTATTATAAAGGTTCAGTAGGAACATAAGAGCTACAAAAAAGAACACCTATAGAAAAAGGAAACATTTCTACGTTCAGTGTTTGTTCTTCCAGTAATTAGCATGGGTGATGACATGTATTAGATATGCCATGGATTTTTTTTCCAGCATGATTTAAAAAATTCCTACAGCAGGAAGAACAAAATTTAGAAATAGGAAAAATATTGCCAAGAACTGGAAAGCAGTAAGTAACAAGAAGCACCTACTCCTTTCCTTCTCCCTTCAGCTTCCAAAGGAGAACACACACTTGTAGTCCAGAAACTCAAGAGAGCAGGGACTTAAGAAGGGTTGAAAATAAGCAACCACCTGAGACAGGAAGAGGGAAGAGTGTTCTGTACAACTGAAGGCAGAAGACAAGACGACTCTATCATAGAGAAAAGGATCAGCAAGAACTTCAAACAGTTTCTTGAGTGGTTTTTGTCATGTGTAACAGGACACTGCACAGATTGGCTGATGGCCCCTTAACTTTTAAGACTAGTGAGCATCCAGACCAAACTGAAGTCTCCAAACAGAAGGAGAGTACTCATCAAACAGAAGTAAAAAATGTGCATGTTGATGGTATGTGAGCAGATGTATTTGTCCATATTGTGTGTGCATTTATGGGGGCTGGGTGTATATTTGTTATATTATTACATAACCATGCTCTTATATACACCGGTTTTAAAGAATTTAATGCACATAGGAGCATGAATCCCATTAACTTTCAAAATATACTTGATGTTAGCATTCATTTACTCAAAGGTAACCAAAGTTTGACCAATAAACCCCAGCAACACATAACTGCAGTTCAGAGAAAAAACTTAAATTTTTTGCTGCACACACTTGGAAAAAAAAAAAATCAAATGTTATATCCACACACATATGCACTCACATATGCTTCTATAAACCTATATATACATATATATCTATAAATCCACTTTTTCCTATGTATGTATATGCATACATTTATACTGACACAGTAGTTATTTGAAAGAGAAGTTTTCAAAGAGCTGAAAACACTTATAAATTAAAAAAATTGAAGAAAAAATGTCAGCAGAAAAATATTAATAACAGCTAGGAAGTATTTCACAACATATCTCACACTCAAGATGAAAAGCTGCAGTGATTCAAAAACTAACCTAGCTTAGGAAGGGAAATACAAAGCAATAAAAAATGAGAAATTAAAAAAATGGAAATGAATAGTAACAAGTATAAATAAGGAGTTGTAAAAAACTGATGTGGAAAACAAAAGAACACAAGGAAATAGTCACAGACAGCTGAAGTCCTAAGAATGTGCTATTTTAAAAACCTATCAAAACCAGAAAAAATAATTCCCTAAGTTTTATTTGAAAGACAGAAAGAAACAAAAATTGAAAAGAGATCACAGTTTACTTTACATATAGAACATGCTGTTACATATGTATAACTTGTCTACAATATTGTGTGTAATAGTACTTACCATATTTAGCTTTCTAGAAAAATTTTCAAGCCATAAGGGTTTTATTTGAAACTAAAACATAACAATATATAAAATATTTATAAAAATACTGGAGTCTAATCTTTGTTGCAAACAGCACCTTGCACAAACCAGAAATGGCAAGAGTAAAGAGTGACATTGTACCTCCAAATTTTTTTGAAGATTAGTGACCTAAGTGATTTTTTTTGAAACTTAAGAGGAACCCCTGGCTTTTCTCTGTAAGACTGCAAGTGTGATTCAGGGTACTCAAGGAGTCTCAGAGCAGCAGGCTGAGGGCGCTCACTGGCACCCCATCCACCTAACTTTCATATATCACCCAATGGCTTGTCATGGGCAATTCTGATATTGTCCCAGTCCCTCTTCAAGTACAGTTTTGAGCTCTGTCAATGAGCCCCACTAGCTTAAGAGCAAAGACCCTCTTCTTTCTCTGAGAAAGGTGAATGCCATCTGACACCAGCAGGCCTGGTGACATGTAAACCATCCCACTACTGAAAAACCCAGAACTGTGGCAGTGACATCAGCTATGGAGCCATGTTTTAATAGACTGGCTTTGTCTGTTTCTTCCAGTGTCGCGGCTCACAACTGGGACAGTGGAAAAAATTTATCTGTGCACCAGATTCCCCTACCAACTATCCCAAGGTCCTGAAGTCTCTTTTGATTCTCCCTGGACTATGCATTGTGGCTTTACTGCCACCCACATGGAAAAGCAATAAGGGATGGGGACTCCTTCAAGACTTAAACATGCCACAGCTCACACTGGCCAATGGGTGTCCAACAGTCTTAATTTTAGCTCTAATCAAGGCTTATCTTGTGACACATCTTTGTACTCGCTTCTGATCAAACAGCCTTTTCTGAACCTTCTTCTCAACTTAGTTCCCAAGATTGTACAAGACCCAACTTCTTCCTTAGCCATAATCACGAACTCTAACTCAACTATTTCCTTACAAACTCACTAGCTGTTACCTACACCCAGCCCAACAGTAGCAGTTAAGGCTTGGCAACTCATAAGATCTACACCTAATCCTAGATTCACCACTTTTTATCCCATGGATCCTTTAAAATTCAGACTATATGCCAGTTTAAAACCAAATTTTATCCCTAGCTCTAAACCATACCTCACCCATCAGCAAATCAAGCCATGTCCCATCTTCCATTTAGACAGACAATGACTACTGTGCTTCACATCTTCATTTCAAATTTAAAGGTAACTCCAGTCCAAGAAACAGCTGGACATCATTATCATTTATACTTCATCAATGTACAGCAACTGTGGAAGGTAAGGAGCTGCTACTCAGGCATCAGACACTGAAGTCCATAGAATCACTAGCATTAATTAAAGAAACAGTTTAACAGATGGTCTGAATTTCTCCATTTAGTGGTGATGCTACGACAGAATAATTCTTTCCTACCTGATACTGAATATCCCCTGGATTTTTCCACATAACTGGTAAGAAGTTTCCTCATAGATGGGTCAGAAGCTTCTTCTAATGCACACCTTCCCATTTTATTTTTTAATAAGGGATCAGCTCCATACCAAAGTAGTAAGTTCACCATCTAAAAAAATAAGTTTTTTAGATCATATCTCTTCTGGCAGTATTTTCCATACTCCTTACATAGGCTTCTCTCTCTTGTACTTGACAACACAAGCAACTAAAATCAAATTTCTCTATATTCTAGTTCAAATACCCTAAGCATTCCCCTAAATAAGGCATTATCCTATCATCTTATTATTTTCATTTTTATAAATTGTTCCAGTTGCCATTAGGACAAGGTCTCCCAAAATACAGGGTAGGATTCATGGCCCCATAGCTATTAACTGGTAGAAAATAACAGGGTATGAGCCAGCTTATCCATTTAGGACATCACAGAACACGTGGAGTTGGAAGGATCCACAAGGATTGAGTCCAACACTCAGCCCTGCACAGGACTGTTCCCAAGACTCACACCATGTGCCTGAGAGTATTATCCAAGTGCTTCTTGAACTCTGTCAGGCTTGCTGCTGTGACCACTTCCCTGGACAGCCTGTTCCAGGGCCCAACCACCTGCTGGGTGAAGAACCTTCTTCTAATATCCAACCTAAACCTCCCTTGACACAAATTCCAGCCATTCCCTCAGGTCCTGTCACTGGTCACCACAGAGAAGAGATCAGTGCCTGCCCCTCCTCTTCGCCTCACAAGGAAGTTGTAAACTGAAATGAGGTCTCCCCTCAGTCTCCTCTTCTCCAGGCTGAACACACCAAGTGACCTCAGCTGCTCCTCAAGGCCCTTCACCATCTTCTCTGCCCTCCTTTGGACACTCTCTAAGAGCTCAATATCTTTCTTATATTGTGGTGCCCAAAACTGCACACAATATTTATTCAAGGTGAGGCCACCCCAGTGCAGAGCAGAGCGGGACAATCCCCTCCCTTGACCAGCTGGTGATGCTTTGCCTGATGGCCCCCAGGACACAGTTGGCCCTCCTGGCTGCCAGGGCACTGCTGATATCTACTTTAGGAGAAAAGAAATTTTGATCTAGATGTGTCGATTGTGACTCCTGTGACTGCAAAGGGGAGCTTTGACAGCTATTTCAGATATGCAAGATATATCTGATCAAATGAAACCCATTCTGATGGTCTTATTACCATTATTACGATTTTTGTACAAATATAAAGCCTGATTTTGTTCTTATTCAAGAAATGACCTTTTTAGCAAAATGTTCAGCCAAGCTTTGCAGGCATGGGACATGAGAAATTTACAATCTGATTGTTTCATTTCTGTGGGTAACCCTGCAATCTTATTCCACCACTAGTGTGATTTTACTTGTACCTCTGCTTTTGTCCCTTCAGCACGTTATAATTTCAGACTGACCTTGATTCACATCCTCCACCCATGTGTTCGAGTCCCTCATTATTTCTAACCAGACTGCTAATGAGAAAATTGTTAGTGACATTTTCTCAATTCATACATGCTCCTAACAATAGAGTAAAATAAAATGGGGTCAATCAAGAGCAAACCTCTGGATTTTTTCAACCAGTAATGTTGAGAACTCTTCTTCCACAACTGTGATCATACACACTTGCATGCTCTCCCCCTTAACTGTACCAAAAAATCTTTCCTATACTTACCATTTTTCCTGAAATAAATTAATTTGGCTAGATAAAAGGCATGTTTCCAATCTACAGTAATAACTTCATGCAGCTTTGAAAAAAACAGCTTCAAATACTATGTTACCAAAAGTCTGAATCACCATCACTATCACTGTTTTGCTGCTAGTCAGAAACAACAAAAACTAAGTCTGACAGATCACTGCAGCAAGACAATTTTACTGATAGTGAGCAGAGACTGAGTAAATATAGCATCACCAGGTAGCACCATTCCCTCTGGACATACCAGCTTGTATGTAACCCTAACTCAGCTCTGTGCTGAATGATCTTGGTGTGCCTCAAGTGACCTAGTTGAAATGACTGTTCTTCCAACATCATTCTAGTTGATGGCCCCTAAATATTACTTGCAGAGATGCAGAGTTCTTCATGCATAACCATGGACATGGTGTGTTAGGTACAGTCACAGAACACAGAAATATTTCATGAACCCACAACAGTCTGTGACGCACAAGTTGAAAACCATTCCTGGGGCTCTCAAGTTCAAGAAAAAATTATTAGCTGGAAGTCCACCTTTCCTCTTTGCTCCAGGGAGATTTGTGAGGAAACAGAATAAATCTCATCTCAGTTGTGAAAAGAGCAAATATTTAGGGCCAAAACATCCCACAAAAAAATACTTAAAAGATCTTGGAAATCAATAACTACTAGGCAGCAAACGTGCACTTCTAGGGAAAGAAACTGCAAGCAGATAAAAGGGACACGTAGAACTCCTACATAAATTTGGGTCACCCTAGAAATATGCACAGACATGCCAGCTGGAGGCAAGCTCTGCCAGACTGAAAGAGGATCCACAATTCAAACACAGGTTTATGAAACCACAACACTTGGCAACAAATCTTACAATTATTTCACATTCACTATTCAGTTAACTTTCAGTTTTAAGACCATACAAAATATAAAGCTATGCCTTCATAACCCTCCATGCTACGTGTTAAAACAGAGTGTGCATGGCTGTGGCAGCGTGCAATACAAGTGTGATTATAAAATCATGTATTAAACAGTAGCAATCTATTCCTCAGTAGTACACTGTCCCCAACAGTTAGAAAAACAATTAATTTCTCCTTCGGGAAAAATCTTGTAAAGCATGGAATGGTTTGAACAGAAATCAAGCAGGAAGGACTTGCAAGCTCCTGAATTTGCCTATAATCTGAAAAGACCAGTCACATGCAAAAACATTATGTGACCTTCTGGACTCAACAACAATAATTTGTATTACTAAATCATAATTTGTGTTCAATTTGGAATATACCTCATAATGGCCTTCTTTAACTGCATCTTGCAACGGTGTTATTTGTTCCTTTTCTGCAGCATTAACATCAGCACCTGCTTTCAAAAGCAGATTTGCTATCCCATAAAAGCCTTCCATACTTGCTATATGTAGTGCAGTCAAGCCTATGAAAAAGAAAAGCATGTATTTCACATTCGGGTAAAAAAAATTCTAAAAATTTATGTCAGTTTTAGGTTGCCTATTAGATAAAGATTTCAGAGAGTATACTGAAAAGGTACAAACTGATGCATTACAGTAAGTTGTATGAAGAAATATTTATTTAAAAGTCACAAGGGTTGTGAGATCTCGCTTTTCACAAAATTTGCACCTACTGAAGAAGCAGACGCTGTTGTAACAACATTAGTTTTAGATTTGGTAGTTCTGTTACGAAATGAGAGAATTATTTGACCCATATCTTGGTAACTTCTCCTGGAACAAAACATATATGCTGTTTTAAGAACAACACAGTTTTTCATGGCACTCTTATTTATATAGCTATGCTGAAGAAGGTTAGTAAGAAAGAAGTTACAAAAATAAAGACGTGAACTATTACCAAACAGAAATGTTTTTTAAGACTACCCAAGAATAATTTGAGTGTCCAAATAAATTAAAATTCCCTACTGAAATTCCATCTTCATTCCTAGCTATATGGAATAAGCTTCACAATAGAATTCTACTCTATGAAAGAGGTGTTGAAGGAAAACGTGGAATATAAGCTTTTGAACTGAGTTTAGCATAGCCATGCATCAGCTCCTTAAACATGTAGGGTGAGAGAAATAAGGGAAAAACAGAGAGGATTTTCCACTTTCTATCTTCCAACTCTCAAATCAACATGCCCTCCAGAAGACCATTTTGATCAACAGTCTTACTCTTCAACAATCTTCCATTATAAGAAGGTTGTTGTTGGGGCCTAATTCACATACTAAATATGTGAATTAATAAGGCTTAATGAAACTCTTTTGCTACCATAGAGCAAAATTATCTTAATTTCACTGGAGAGAGAAATTCTCAAGGCTCTCTTATACACAGCTGAACCTGGAATATTGTATATTCCTACAAATTGTGTTTATTATGAAATCTGTTAAGGGGAGAATTAAAAGGTTCACTTAAGGGAATGTATTAATTTTTCCCTCAGTAAAATGTATCCTCTATCTGATACAATAATAAGGCCCCAAAAAACTGCACCTACAATACATTCAACTGATAATTCTTAGGGATTAGCGACATGAAGCAAAGATGCTGTGCATGCTCCAGATCAAGAAGAAACACAAGTTTCACTGCAACTGTTTTTCAGATCCCTTGAGACACCGTGAATCAAGACTCAAACTAAGAGCACAAGACAGCATTTCTAACATGCTGTTCATATCCTACATGCTGATGTCCAGGAAATAAAAAGGAGAAAAAAACCCCAAACCAAACAACAGAAGATCACAAGAACTCAGCAAAGTACTGAAGTAGAATATTGTAGCACAGGAATAAGGAAAAATACTAGGCTAAAATATAGATAATCACTGGTGAGATGCTTTAAAGGAAGAGAACAGGTACAGAGGCAGAATATAATTCGGAACAATGACTCCCAAAGAGATCAAGATGAAAGTGCATGTCAAAATGGCACAGGTCTGGCAACTATTTCTTTCTGACTATACCTGCCTCAGTAAAAAAAAAAAAAAAAAAAAAAAAAAAAAAGAAGCATGGCAGGTTAACCTCTCATCTCTTCAAGGAGTACAACTAAAAGATACTTTGTGCAGCTGTGCTGTTTTTGCACTAAAAAACCAGCAACCAGAGCCTGGGGAATGAAGAAATCGTGGCCTGGTAAAACATTAAAAAGGCAGAAAAAGGAAGCAACTGTGACAGCAAAAACTAGAAGCAGTGCACTTTGGTATACTTGTCTACTGTGGCTGCACTATCAGCACTTCTCTGTCGTCAGCATGAGGCTTTGAACCCCACCAACAAAATATTTTCTCACCTGCCTCTAGCACAAGTTAATACATATTATGAGTCACTCTGTTAGCTCAAACATCTGTACTCCAAAAGTCTGAAATCTGCTGTTGACCCAATCTATCTCCCAGTATATTCCAGAAGATAGATAATTTTTAACTTAATTTTGGACTGTTAAGTGCCTGCATTATGCAATAGCCTATAACTGCAGAATGTGAGTTTTTTCCTTTCCCACAGAACAGTTGTGAAATCCTAGCCACTAGTATGGTATGAAAACACTCTAAGAATTGAAGTTTTCTACCAAATGAGCCAGTTGTCTGAAACAATCTTCTCTTTTGTTGTGGAAGTTTATCAGATATTAAGGGAGGAGATGGGGAAGTGCAAATAAGAAACAGTCTTATGTTTGAAAAAACCAAGTGATACTTAAGGTGCAAAGCCTTTGACACAGAGTATCACACATGAAACTGGATAAGGTGAATTGCTTCAAACAAAACATTAACAGCTGGCCACTATTTGTCATTCCTTTTTTTTTCACACCCAAGATGAAAGAAAAATGGAAAATACCAAGTAGTCACAACTTTCTTAGAAAGTTAGGACAGTGCCAAATTATAAAACTACAAGTTCCCTTGAGATGTAATGGGCAAAATCAAAGTCCCTGAAAAATTAAACTGAAAAATCTACATCTTGGTGTCTCAAATTGGTCACTGAAGTGGACAAAACTAACCCCAACTTTCAAACCCATGAAGTTGATTATTTAATTAGGGACTGCTTTGTGATAAGCAGGCACAGAACTGTTGAATTAAGGCTAAGTAAACCTAATTGCATCACTGTGTAATTTTTAAAGTGCTTACTTTTCCCTCCAAATTTTCTTTTCTCATATAGTTTTATAAGTAGATCTACGTATTTTACCATGAACAAGTACCAAGTGAAACCAATAAAAATATAATAATCTACTGACCAGTAACAAACCTACAGTCTTGTCCACTGCACACTCATAATATATGCTTTTATTAGTTACAAATGAACACTTCACTGAAAATAGTATTTTAATACAACTGCAACTTACCAGAATAATCCTGAGCATTTACATTTCCACCAGCTTTTATGATCTTACGTACAAGGTCTACATCTTGATGAGTAACAGCTCTATGCAGTAAATTCTCACCATACACATTCCTCCTGTGGATTGCTGAAAGTGTAAGAGGGCGAGCCAGACCCTTACCAAAGGCTTCTCGTTCTGAAAAATAATGTTAAAAGCTCTGCTGCACAGAAAAATACCTTTTCTCTCTTATTTTGGCACTTTGTATTACAGTTAGTAAACGATCTTTCTGAAGAAACAAATGCTCATTCAATCTAGTAGAAATGAGTATCTCAAAAAACACATCACCAGTTAAATAATAATACCATTCAATAAAAGATGCCATAGGCAATTCTATAACAAAAATGCAATTGAAATGCAACACACAGAAATATGACTTTGTAAAGGTATGTTAACTTTAGACTTCTTCCTTTCTAATGACATTTTTGCAAAGTGCATTGCTTCCCAAAGGATGATAAAACTGCTATTCTGCAATACAAATCATTGTAAGGAGACCATCTCAATAACTAAGTCAGTTATTCAATAATTTAACTTTTAAGAAAACTCAAATTTATCAACCATTATTTTGTAATAATTTTTCTTTTAAAACCTCTGCTTTGTAAGGAAGTTTTTACATTCGGATAGTGATTGAGATTAGCTCCCTCAGACTACCTTTTCCCATTACTTCACAACCAGCTCAGCCTTTTCTGCAAGGAGTGAAAGGTGAATATGAGGCCTAAATGTAAAAAAATAAAACGTAAAAGATACTATTTTTAATTTTTAGTTTATTATTTTACAAAACAAATGCTATCTCCCATTATGCACTCATCACAGTTTTCATCTTGGCAGAAATTATTTCCAATACATAGATGAGCTCTTCTGTACTTCACTAGCAGTGCCATTCCAGCATCCCTTGAAACTGTGGTGAAGAGCATCCTGGCTACTGCATCTGATGAAAAACAGAGAGGGAAGAAAGAAGGGAAGAAGAACAGCAGAACTGCCTGCAGGAAAACACAGTACACGGCCTAGGCCATTACTTCATCTACTAATGAAAACGCTTGGGACAGCAGGCTACATACACTGCTCCTCTCCACAGGCTGTAGCAGGTGTGTCTCACTGGCCCTAAAACTCTGCCCAGGTGTCAGAAATAGACCTTAAAAATCATAGTTCTTCTAGAGCTGTAACTCACACAGCCTGATGTCTCTGTTTTGTGCATGGTGATATACTGTGAGCTCAGACTAATTCTCGAACTTCTTAAGTTCTTGAGTCTGTAGATTTTTGGAATCTAACAGATATGGGTTTATTTGGGACCTTCCCTCAGTTGAGCACATGGACAGTCCCTCTCATCTACCTGCCCAGCCTTGCAAGACCTTAAGCATTTCAGATATGCAGTCACTAGTCAAAGCTGGTCTAAACTAGCCAAGCAGTTCAGGAGGGATTAAACTGTATAGATATACACAGAACAAGGCGCAGTTTTATGCTGCAATTTACCTGATTCAACTTCCTCCTTTAAGAGGACCTATTTCCCATCACTTCCACCTCGCCTTCCCTAGCGCCTTCCATGTGCCTGACCTTGTGCCAGCCCAAATGAAACTTATCATCGGGCTGTTTTCTCAGAGAATTACCAAACTAAGATGACTCATGGGCTCTTGATTGCTAGGTCTGACACAAAAAGGAGATAAACTTCTACACTGGTTTAACGCAAAGCTACCTCTACAGGCATTGCAACTCTTTCTGCAGAAATCATGCTAAGGAACCAACAGCCTATTTATTGAGCGGAAACTAGTAAGTCAGTTTGAAATAGAGGAGCAGCTACTCATTCAACTTTAAGTCTCATCAACATAGTGCTTCTATCATGAATACTTAAAATCCTGCAAAAGAGAAGGTTTGTTAATTGGAGGCAGAATTCTTCACGTTTTGTAAGATCTATAATGTAGCTGTTACAGTTCAAATACTTCCAAACTTTGTAAGATGTTTAAATGACTGTAGATTCATGGATAAATCCCAACTAAGTGGCCTTTAAAAAAAAAAACAAAAAAACCCACAAAAAACAACTTTTAAGATCCCAATCTTAAAGGTGCTGGAGTGAGGACAAAAGTAAGGAGATTCTTTATCCTCCTACAAAATTCCTCAGTGAGGTAAAGAACTTGTCTGTATGTATCTTCAAAGGATGAAAAATAGTAATCTTTCTGTCTGACAAAGCACATCACAAAGAAAAATACTTTACAAGATGCTCCGTAACTGTGGTAGTGAAGGCCCTATAATCCTGTAGGGCCTGTAGGATAACAACACCAGGCATTCAAAACAGAATAAACCGTTTTGTAGAGGCCAATTCTTGCGGATGGCACAGCCCTGAGAATGAAGTTGCACACAGAACACTAAATGACAAAAGGATATATAAATGCGTGTCGTTTATATACTTTTTCACTCTGCATGAAAACATTTCTCTTCTTGTCAGAATACACTGTAATTTTTTTTCATATAAAACACTGTGATAAAAATTGCATCCTGAAAAACTCATGATTCTTAAGGAGTTTATGCAAACAAGTCAACTGTTAGGTTGCTAATATGAAGGTTTTCAGAAGTGAGGGAAATTATTGATAATTTAATTATTAAAATGAATGTTTCTACCACCTTTTAGATAGAAATTCATGCCACAATATATTGGTAAGGTTATGAATTGTATTTGATTCAGTATAGTTGTTCAAATAATAAGATAATCTGTATGAAAACAGCATAAAATATCTTACTCCGTTTGTTGTCAATTCTCCTGCTTCTCCGATTAGCTTCTGTATACTCATTCAGAATTATTTCTTGCCATATTCTGGTTTCTAGATTCTGCTTGTCTTTAGAAGTAGATTTCTGAATTTTACTGACAAGAGATTTGCTTAGAATCAACAAAATTATTCTCTTTATAAAACAATGTTGACAGTAGAGGTAATAATATGAACGTATCTGATTTTAAAAGGAAGTAACAGCATGCAAGTACACAGGCTAACTTAGGTAGTACTTAATAAAGAGTAAATCAGAGGAGAAACAAACTTCCAGATCTTTTAATAAAAGGTAAAACCTTTACTTTTTGATCATTTTAAACTCATTCGCATGACAAATGAGTATTCTATATGCACTGTATTTATTACATTAATATTTTTAAAAAATTAAGAATATTATGCATTAATTTCTCATACTCAAAATCCTTGAGTTTGTTTCATGTTATACTGCCACTGTGAGACATTCTCTGCTGAGTCTCTTCAAGTATTTTATGAGAGGAAACACAATCACAATCTCTGTACCTTCCTGAGGAGGTCTCTCTCAACTTCTTCACTTACCTTGATATTGTTTGGGCTGTTTCTGCACATGCTGTAAGCTCCACTGAATGTGAATGTCCCTCACCAGTTTGCTTTTTACTAGAGGTGGCATCCCAGTAATCAGGAATTACTTCTTTCTCTCTCTGCTGATCACCCACAGGTTGTGATAAAAAGAAAGAAATATTACAAGCAACCAGTAAGCATGCAGTAAAACAAGAGCTGTATATAAAAGAGCTCCAAGAACACTTATAAATTGTACATGTCTTCACAGACAACAGAGGTGTTGCTTAAGTGAATAACTGGATTTCTACAGATAAGAGAGACAAAGGCTGCCATAGGAGAGGCACCCCTGAAGTAGTGTGCCATACCATGTGCTCCTGACAGAAACAGCCAAGAGAATTAGGATACTCAGAATCACAACTTAAAACATAAATCTCGGCTGGCTGACAGCAAACAAAAGTTGTTCTATCTGAAAGTTATCTGGACATATGAATTGACTTAACAGACTCATTTCAGTTTCTTATAGACATGAGCTCCTGGCCTAAAAAGTTAGATAATGTTTTAGATGTCTTAAGCTGGCCCATCTTATCTCACCCTTGCAGAAGCCTAGAAACAGACACAGGGTAAGAACCATGTTTCACTCGAAGTTCAGTGACTCCTAACTGAGAAGTTATTTCTGAGCTACAGACACTATTGGTGAGATTCACTTTACTAACCTTCAGCCTTCTAAAAGCCAGGTAACTAGATGTCACTAGGCATCCTCATTACCCCCACTACTGACTAAGAGGAAGAGTTACTTTCAAAGATGAGAGTGATTTACTCATCCTAGAGGGTGCAATTGATTCGTGTATACCAGAGACTTATCCTAACAGTAATGGAGAGAAACCCCAGCCTAAAGATAGGTCATCCCATGCAAGTTAATTTGAGTTACTTGAGTTTATTCCCTGTTTTAGCCAAGTGAGTGTGACATGCCGTCATGTACCGCTCAAGCTGCTGAAACCTGGGTACTCATTAGTGCATTACTCACTTGAGTAATGCTGAAAGCTTCTAGGACACACCCTCAACACACATGCATAGAAATTCTTTCTCAATGACATGGGAGGACTTGTTAGTCCTTTCCTGGGATACTGACAGAAATGGAGAATTCATTGATTAATTTTTTTAATTGACATATTTAGCAGAGAAGCTACTGAAGAGGTGAATTGCTTTCCCAGAAGTGGTCCTCCTGGATCAAGGGATGATGCATACCAACCTGGGATATGGGGTTGTTTAGCCTGGAGGCTGAGGGTGGCCCCTATCACTCTCTGCAACTACCTAAAAGGAGATTGTAGTAAGGTGGGGACTGGCCTCTTCTCCCAGGTAACAAGTGACAGGATGAGAAGAAATGGCCGGAAGTTGTGCCAGGGCAGGTTTAGATTGGATATTAGGAAAGATTTCTTCACTGAAAGAATGGTCAGGCATTTGACAGGCTGACTAGGGAAGTGGTGGAACCATCATCCCTGGAAGTGTCCAAAAAACATGTGGATGTAGCACCTGGGGATATGGTTTAGTGGTGAACAGGGTGGTTCACAGTTGGATGGTTGGACTTGATGTTCTTAAGAAGTCTTTTCCAACCTTAATGATTCTATGGTACTTGGGGAAAATCAAATATGTTACTTTACAAAACTATCACAGCAGTACTTTTTGATGGTTAGAGAAGAAGAAGAAAACATTTCAATGAAAAGAAACCTCACGCTTGCTTTATAAGACATCACATACTAAAATAAATGGGCTATCTAGCACCCTGACTGCATCTACAGGACAGGACAGGCTCTCCTCTTTAGGGCACTTGTTTCACCACAACAAGAATACTCAGAAGAAACAATAATGAGAAAAGACCAAGGTGAAGAATATACTGTTAGAATTCAACAGTTACTAACATATTAACTGGGATTTTTTTTCTCATTAAATTGCCTCCTTACTTCCTGCCTTCAAGAACACCAGGTGAAGACACAAAAAAAAAAAGCTAAAATTGAGTATTAATCAGCAAGAGGTTATAGATACCCATTTCCACAAGACTCTGCTTCATAATCTTAACTGTGATTTTGAGTAGATCTATACATAAAGCTTCACACAGCTGTGCTACAAATTTCAGAAATCAACATGTCACTTAAAAAGCTTTGTAAAGTGCTATAGTTCTGAGACAATTATATGACAGACCTTTCAGCACCTTGAAATTGCCACATCTGTGGTACATTTTATTACATGCTATGATATTCAGTTAATATCGCTATGAAAAGACAGAATTAACTCATAGTTTTTGGATGCTTTATACCATTGTGGGGAAGCAAAGTGGTTGTAAACCCACTTTGAATAGCTGGCTATACATAACTGATCATTGATTTGCAGATCCAGATTATTCAAAGACAACACAGAGCAGACAATCAGATTACAGGTTTACAAGAGATGCCTATTACACTTTGTAGCATAAAGATGCACATCCTATATGTTGTCCTCTTTCCCTTATTATAATCTAAACAGGAAGAGATTATGGCATTGCTTTCCTTTCATGCTCCTCTCCAGATTTTTGCATTTGAATACAAATGACCTGTTCCAGAACACCTTTGCAGCACAAGGCGTAACAAGAAGGATCACATGCTGTATCCATACATTCACTGACTTCTTCAGGGGAGGACATGGACATAAAACCATGCCTTAATTTTTTCATCAAGTCTCACATAAGCACAACTAAATCAAATAAATACACTTCTAAACACATGTGTAAAAAATCCCCATTGAGTAACCTTTCCAGTCTACAGAAAAGACACAGCTGAATTTATTTTATAGTACTTGCAAAGCGTTTGTATGATACAGCAGTGAGAACTGTGACAGAAGAAAACAGCACACTATAGCCAGGAGAAAAAATAGAACTGTATGGGGTAGGAACGTAGAGTTTTTGAAATTCCCATGCTGATTCTAGACTTCCGCATCAGTCACTGAATTAACTTTAACAGTATTTCCTGTCCCAGCAGGCTGAACTTTTTCATCACATGGATATATCAAAGCAGAAAATACACTACTGGACTTTTAAAACAAAAACAACTTAAGTGATTTAAACATGCAAATTACTGATGCCAGTTTATTCTTTACTAAGATTCACATCTCTAAGTAATTTGGCTACTATAAAACATTTTATGATAAACAGGGATTTCCAAATATGAATTAAAGAGTGTATATACTTGCTCATTTGTTGTCCTCTGAGAGTCGGATCCTCTGAAGGCATTTATTTCTTTCACCTGACTTGTAGCAAGTTGAGGGTCCATCATGTTTGTTATTTGTGTACAGTCATCATCTAATTGGGGAATGCTGGGTTCTGAATTTAGCTGCTCTCCCTCGGTGTTAAGCTGTCTCTCAATTGGCACCATAGGAGTGATAGGTTGTAACACAGATCCTGACAAAGCATCCAGAGGCCTCACAAGCTCTACCGGCAGGGCATCACTGCTCTCAGCTGCTGATGGATCAGTGGAAAAGGCATGACCCTGACACTCTAACTTGTCAGGCAATGGGTTTATCACTTTAAGACTCTCAGAATCACCAGGGGATGTTAACACAGCGCTGCCGTCAAATCCACCAGTCTCTATACTCTGTTCAGTGAATACATCCATGAAAATCTTCCTTGGGGATGTCAGAGAAAGATTTGTATCATTATTAAGGGAATGCTCCTCTACTACGTTATCAATGTCAATAGTGGTCACACAGGTTCTGTGGCAATCATCTAAAACATGCTGAAATGTATCTTCTGGTGCCTGTTCATTTAGAACTGTTACGTCTTCCACAGGGCCATCTAGACAGAGGCTTATTTCTGGAGAGAGATCTTCATTACTTAATTTTTGTGAAATCTAAAAATTGAAACAAAAAAAAGTTCACAAAAAATAATGGAACAACTTTTTCTACAAAGCATTTAATTAATATTCACTTTAGAAGTCATCTACATATATACATATATATGTATATTTTATTATCAATTTTTACATAAACTACAAGACTCAAAGCCCTCCTTCACACAATTGCAGGAAGGCTTAGACTGAGGTCTCAGTTTCAAAAGTAGACCACTTCAGCTCTTGACTTTCATAGCAGTGAAAATCCAGAGCAAGAGAGACTAGATCTGTTAAAGATACTATGTCATTGCCAGTGACCTGAGGGTATTAAAAGGCTTTAAAAGAAAGTAATTAAAAATTTCTGTCAAGTAGAAATAATGAAAATTAGTATATTCATAATAATAAAAAACATGTAGTTAGTTAGTTTCACTAACTAACTACAAAACATGAGTTTTGATTATGTGTATCCCACACAAACGTGGAACATCTGTGCCTCACGAACTTCAGTTCAAAAGCTAAGAAGTTTGCATATTTACGTTTCCACACTGAGTACAGAACACAAAGGCACAACTGTTCTTGGAAAAGTAATACTGCTTCTGTTTTTCTAACCACTTTGAGTTGCTTTCAACACATGCATCTGTTTTTATACCAAGACATAGGTTTTTTATTTTTTTCCCTATCCTTGTTTCAAACGTTCTGCAGAAGAAAGTATGGTGCCTCCACCAACCTAAACCATATTTTTTTCCATATAACATTTGTATATAATAGTGCTCTTACTTAGTAATACTAGTCTTAAGAAAATACCTTTCAATGCATTTTTAGAGTCTTGCTGCCAGCAAGTGGTAATACGGGGCAGTGCAAGAAACCTTTAACCACTGGTAACATGATTTCAATAAAGCTCACACACAGTAAAACAGGGCAGAAATCTGACAGCATTGAGTCACATTCAGTTTGTAAGTAAACATAAATCCCTGCTTCTTTGTTGAAAACTTATTCCTCAGAGAGCTGTTCCCTGTCTTATATCTTTGTATGTAATTCTTCCTTTTTAAGTACTGACTATTTTTTACTTTGCTGTACTGAACTACACTTTCTTTTTAGACCACTTCTCTAATGTATGCAGACTATAAACCAACTGCATAAAACCCCTCTACTGGCACAACTTTCTGTACTTGAAGAACTGTGGTATAAACAGCACGTATGTACATTACAAACTTCCTAAGAAAAATGCTCAGTGTAAAGGGCAGGTGAAACTTACATTTATATTAATGGAGAAGGCAGGCAACGAAGGATTAATTTTGCAAGATCCTAAAAACCCAAATGCCAACTGAAATCCAAACCCTACGTATGATGTGTTCAAAAAACTTCTGTCCAATACAGATGCCTAAACTTCCTTAGCACTCATTTCTGTTGGTAAAATCCTGTGGGACTTTCTCTACAAATAATTCAAATCTGCAGAACATAAAAGAAGTTTAAACTTTCCCTCCCTAAAACCCAAACCCATCCTCAGCTGCCACTTATGCGCAAAGACACTTAAAAGCCCCTGTGCCTAAGATCCCTGTACCTTCAATCGTCTGTTGAAAAGCAACAGAGGAGCTGCCGAAGCAGCAAAGCTGAGCCAGCTGTGACTGGAATCAAAAGTGGGAGCTCTCTCTTCTGTCGATCCCAGCCTGGTAAATATGGTTTGAAAATACCTAAGTTTCATTCAAATGAGGAACAGGATTCCCCCTCAGTCAGCAGTTCAGCAGTAAAGTATCAACACTGTGGTAAACACAGGTTCAGGACCATCTTCCACCAGAAGAGCTATGCTTCAAGCAAATTATTTTAAAAAGGGGTTTCTACATAAAAAAATGTACCACTTCAGCATAATGCTGTTGATTATCTTATGCCAACCATGTCCTGGCATCTGTGAATCTCTTCCACTGGTCACACTGCTTCAAAAAACTTGATTTAAATCCCACTATTCTCATGTCTCAATTATTTGCAGTACAAACCCAAATCATAGTGCTCCTTAACCCAGGCACAAATTCTGGTGACCTAGCATCAGCCCAGAATGTCTTGTCTCCCTCTCCACCTTACCCAGTAAGCATGCACTGAGTAACAGCTGAGCACAGACACAGTCAATTCCAGCCTCAGCTGATTCACAACCTAGCACCAAAGGAAACAGGTAGACAGGGAAGTCAAGAAGAGGTTTCATAAAAAAACCAACTTGACCATGGATAAAGAAACTATATGTTAATACATGTACTGCATCAAAGGCCAGTGAGAGAGCCAGGCTTTGCCAAGCCTTAGATGTTTACTTCTCCTTGCACACTACATGAGCAAGGTTAAATCTGGCCTGGCAGCTCCAGCAGCCAGCAGGACATTCACATCACCTTGGTGTTGGTGAATCATGACACACAAGGACTTTTTTCCTATATGTTTGAGAACAATGTGAAAATTATCAAGAAATTGTAGGCTTTTGGGTGTCACAGCCTGTGTCTTACAAATGTTACAACACAAAAAGGGAATTACTAATACTGCAGTATAAATAATAAGGGTGGAGTAGAAATATTAAATGGACTACTGTATCTGATAGCTCTGAGTAAAAGAAGTTCAGTTGTTCAATATACACATGCAAGAGAATCACTATAGAAGAATTAAGCCTTCAGAGAGATCAACATTATCAGCTTCTATAAGAGTGCTTTGCTGAAGACTACTGCAATATACTGAGACAGGAAGAAGGCACAGAGAATCACACAACGTTTGAGGGCGGAAGGGGCCTCTTGAGACCAACTAGTCTGACCTTGCTGCTCAAGCAATGTCAGCTGCAGCAGGTTGCCCAGGACCATGTCCAGTCAGGACGTAGGTGGAGAATGCACAACTGCTCTAGGAAACATGTTTCAGTGTCTGACACCCCTTCTCAGTTAAAATGTATGTTTTTGTGTCCAGACGGGATTTCAGATTTCACAATTTCTTTTGAATTTGTGTCCATTTCCTCTTGCCTTATCAATAGGAACGACTGAGAAGTCGGTGTCCCTTATCTTCATTCCTAGCTGTCAGATGTTCATACACAGTGGTAAGATCCTCCTCAGCATTCTCTTCTTCTGGTTCAACAGTTCTGGCTCTATCAGCCTGTTCTCATACGGAAGATCACAGAATCACAGAATGGGCTGTAGTCCAATGCTCCTGCCATGGGCCAGAACACTTCCAAGTATATCAGGTTCCTTAGAACACTACTCAGTCAGACCTTGAATGTTTCCAGAGATGGGGCATCTACCAGCTCTCTGGGAAACATATTCCAGTATTTCAACACCCTCATCATAAAAAATTCCTTCCCTATAATATCTAATCTCAATGGACTCTCTTTTACTTTAAAACTATTAGCCCTTGTCCTGTCACTACAGGCCCCAAGGAAAGGGTCTGTCCCCATCTTTTTTATTAGCCCCTTTTAAGCAGTGAAAGGCTGCAATGAAGTCTCCCTAGAGCCTCCTCTTTTCCAGGCTGAACAATCCCAACTGTCTCAGCCTGTCCTCATCATAGGAGAGGTGCTCCACCCCTCTGATCATCTTTGTGGCCCTCCTCTGGACCCACTCCAACAGGTCCATGTCTTTCCTGCATCCAGAGCTGGACTCCAGTACTCCAGGTGAGGTCTCACAAGAGCAAAGTAGAGGGTCCACCAGGATACCCAGGTCCTTCTCTGCAGAGCTATTTTCCAATCAGCTCATCCCCAGTTGTACTGGTGCCTGAAGTTATTTCTCCCCAGATGTAGTACTTCACACCTCCCTTTGTTGAATGAGATTTCTCTCTGCCCCATTCTCAAATCTGTCCAGGTCCCTCTGAATGCCAACACAACTATCTGGTATATCACTCACTCCTCCCAGTACCATCTCTGAACTTGCTGAGGGTGCATTCTGTTCCATTTTCCGGGCCACTAACTGAAGATGTTGAACAGTATTGACCCCACTACTGACAGACTGACCACAACAGAAATCAGTGTTGCTACGTCATCAAGGTCAAGAAAACCCAGCAAGACTAATTTTGTGGTGTCAGAATTCTATGCAGACTATCTTAATTTATAGATTTATCTTGTGTTTCCAGGGACACACAGAATTAAGACGCTCACTGACTCTCTGCTGGTTGTCAAGGTGTCCATTCTGCGCTTGCTGCAAATCAGTCTGGGGTGGCCCTTGGTTCCTCTCACTAAAGATCTTTCTGCAGGACTCAGATCGTGCCAGTGCCAACATCAGCCAATATGCAAAAAGTATAATTCACTGCAGTGATTATTTCCAACCTTCTTTCTCCAGGCTCCTAAAATATCCTCTCTGGAGATATTCTCAATGCACTCAATCTGCCTATTCTCCAGAGGCTATTAATCAAAGACAATCTCTTTTTCAAGGCATTTAGATTTTGTTCTGTTGGACTACTTCTGTGCAATGAGAATGTTTCATTTAATAAACTTGGTATTACAGGCTTATATTTATAGCTGCATATTTTTTAGAAAAGAAAAGCCTAGGAGATTTCAAGTTTTTTCCCCTTGTTTCCAAGACAAAGAATACTTGGCCCTGGTCATCAATGGTATTTGCTGCAAGACATGAACAATTTGCCATACTGATCTCAAATCTACCTTTGGTGAATTTTATCAAAAATAGTTGCTTTTTCCCCAACTATTACCTCAATCAGAAGGACAGTTACAGATAATCTATTCCTCCTCAGAAACCTTCCAAATGTAATGCCTTTCCCATAACTTTCATTGGTGGGAAACATTTTAAGCTACTCAAAAGTCTTCATTACTTTATCTTATCTTAAGTAACAGCCCTTACAGATTCTGTGTCATGATGATGTCTTCCCCACTTCCCTTTTACTGCTGTGCTCCTACCCTTGTGTTCTGCAAACTTAGGAACTACAGTTTTTACCTAAAAAGCAGAAAATAAAGTTTAGCTTTAAAGGTGTTTTCACCTAATGAGCAGTGACAGTTTCAACAGCTATGTGCTTGCTTTTTAAAATGAAAGAAACAGACATTTTTCAGTAAAATACTCTATAATGCTAAATAAATTATATGATATTTTATATACATTCTCTTGTAAAAATACACTTGCCTTTTCTTCTGAATCCTTTTGAAATTCATTCAATTTCATATCTAAATTAAGGAGAGTAGACAAATATTTCAGTTTTACTTTTCACTTCTGAAAGTTCTCATTGCCTCTACAAAATGGCACTATTTCCTAAGTTTAAGCATAAAGTTTCAAACCTTAAAAATTACTATAGTCATGTTCCCTAAATGGAACTGACAATAAAATTTCTAGTCAGGCTCTGTTAGCCACTAAATCATACCCCAGAGCTATTTTGTCACATTTCTTCACTGTGGTTTAGAGGCCTGTCTTTCCAAAGACTGTCAGCAGATGGTATTAACACCCGTTCCACAGGATAAGACTTATCCCCTGCCCTCTCCAATTACAATGCAATTAGACAATAGTGCTAAAATAACCTAATAACTTACTGCCTCTGGAAAGGGATGATCCCAACCCCCCTGCTCCTATCACTCTGTTCTGACATTCATGTGACTCCCTGGCAATTTCCTCATCAGAAATAAAGTGAGTGTTTTTCTGTAGAGTTAGCAAAAATAAGGTAAAGGCAGAAGACAAATAAATAGATGGGGCAGTCCTGCACTGCTGGGAGCACAGAGGAACGGAGGCACAACTAAAGTAGCATGAAGTAACATACAGACATGGGGAATAGTAGCATTTCTGTTTCTCCTTTCTTAGAAATGTCTCTGATTCTTTGATATGTTAGTAAGAAACATTTGGGAACTCTCAATGACCTATTTATCTTACACAACCATATGGCACTTGAGTACTAAGTATATTTGTGTGGCCTGTAACTTTTGTCAGAAAATTCCACGGTAATGAAATAATTTTATACTGGATATATAGCACTGGATTGAGAAAACAGTTACCTCTTCAAACAATCCTAGCAGAACACTTACAAAACCAGAACTTCTAGTCTATGACTATAAAAACTAAACAATTGTTGGAAAGTACACATATCATATTCAAAATAAATCTACATGGATACTCATCTTCAGCTTCTCAAATGATTTTCTCAAATGATTCTGGCACAGCTAGAACAACTTCCAGTTTTGTACAACATACCTACAGAATTAAGTTGCTGTTCTTCTACTGCAGCATTTAGTGAAAAATCAGACTTAGAAATATTTTCAGTAGGTGATGAATGCTTTATCCAACCCCTAGAATTAAGTAATACAATAAAAAGTTCTTAAAGAATTGTAATCTGCTCACCTTACAAAAATTTTTATAGTACTTTGAGTTTATTTATGTAATTTTGTGCTAACCATTATTCATGAAAACAGCTGCAGTTATTTCAGAGGCATACTTTTATTTTACAAGGACATGCAACAAATAAGACTTCTGGAATTCCTACATGGAACTAGCTATGTTTGCACATTCATTCTCTAAGTGAAAAAATGGCCCTTCTTGTTTTTCATTAGTTCTTTCTGCGTTTCTGTTATAAATCCATCTTCTCCTGAAATCCTTCCATAGCTTCGAGGAACAAAAGGTCTAATATTATTTATTATAAATTTTTGTTTGTCTAATGGTTTTCTCCAAGTTCTGTTACTCTTGCTGGTTTAAACCAATAAAGGTAATATCATCAATATAAATAAATCCAGGTACATACTGAACATAGAACTACCTGTGACATAAATATATATCCTTCACTAAGCAAACAAGAAAACTGTTTCTAAATAGTACACTGGGAATAAAATAACATACAAATAGATGTATAATGGAATTGTTTAATTACAGTATGCCTGACTGAAATTCCTGTGTGATGTATTATACTCACTGCAGTAGAGACTGAGACTGGTCAGATGTGTATGCCTCTTGAAGTATCTAAAGAAAAAAAAATTAACAAGTTAGCAAACAAAATATTTAATTTTTTTTGTTTGTTTGTTTTATTACCAATTGCCTACCTTCTTCCATCTGTAATTGAGTTGGGAGATGGAATTTTTAGATTCTATCATTACATACATTACTAATAAATCACAAAAGTATTCTGCTTTTCTTATTTATACTATTTGAGAAAAATGTTGAAAAATAAGACTGTGGAAGATAACACTCACCCAGAAGGAAAACATAGCCATGCAATTAAGACATGAATGCTTCAAACTTAAGATGTTTTATACATCAAAAGACCAAAACACAAGGTATTTTAACTTCAACTCACAGTTTTAATCTTTCTTTGATAACAACTCCCTTTTTTCATTAAATAAAACAGGGTGCTGCTCCAGAGACTGTGAAGCTCAGTATACCACTCTCAATACCCCTGTGAACAGCATAGTTTAATTACTTCAAGACCTGCACATCAGCAAGCTCTAAGTGGCAGGGCTGCCACATGCCAACACATGAAAGAGCACGAGGGTAATGCAACAGCAGGTGCCAAATTCCAACACTTCAGTACAAAGAGCCTGGATCTGCTTTTCGTGCCTTTGTACATAAAGGAGAGATCTCCTCTAGTATGGAAAATGGAGCCTTTATCTACTTTATAAAGTATATAAGCCTTTATACACTTTTTACAGAAAATACATACACCTTTTACAGAAGAAGGAGCCTTTATATAAAGTCTAAGGCAAACTAGGAATGATTAAGAAAGACACTGCAGAAAGTGAACTGCAGAACAGTTCTCTCACTGGTGAGCTGAAGACTGGGTATTATTAGTGAACTATCTGCACACTGGCTATACCTTTTAACAAATCATTGACATACAGTGGACATTAACAGCACTAGAAAGATTCTGGGAAAGAACACCTTGGTGCAGGCGCCAAGTGATGACTTTTTTGTCTTACACAAGACATTAGGAAGGCAGGAAGATCAACCATCTTAATAATGACCTGAAGAGTAACAGGTGCAGATTGGCCAGCAGGAGGACTGCTAAAAGGCTTCCTGGAACAGAACAGATTCTTTAATTTGTCCAACAATTATCAACTCATGTAATTCCAAAATATGGCAATGAGATAGTTCACAGAAAGTTATTGACTTTGCTTAAATACACCCTTCAGGCGAGTCAGCCTGAATATTTACACAGAACATTATACAGAGACCAGGCAAGGTCAAGAGAATAACAGAATAGCTATCAAACCCCTCTGACTGCTTTACATTGCTCTTAAAAGCTCAGGGAACTACCCTTATAACTCAGAAGACAAAGGAGCTATTTTTTCTGCTAAAAAATTAAGTTCTAAGCAAAATCCATATATTGCTTAATGGTTGAAGGGTCTTCTCAAATCATATAAGTTACACAAATAGTATTTGTGGCCACTGACTGGAAGTACCAGAATGGTTTTTTGTCCTGCCTCTTGTTTTTGGTAGGGAAATTCCTGCAAAATCCAAATAATTTTTCTAATTTCAACACTCACTTATACAGCCAACTATATGAGGGGACTCTGGATGTGATCCAAAGACAGACTAATGCTAAAAAGCTGTTAGGCGCACTTCACCAAACAGGGCAAGAAAAACAAAGTATGGAAAAGCTGAAAGCACAAACTTACAATCATGACACCTGTCTGAACAAGCCATGGAATAGGAAAATGACTTGTCAGTTGAAAATGTATGTCTACTGCATTTCTGGTGGAAGAAAATTCTTAATTACAATTTCTTACATGATGGAATCAAAGACAGGACTGCATATCCCAAGCCTTCCCCCAGCCCATCCAAAGTACAAAGATAGCTAAGGCTCTCTGGAACAACTGGAATGGATGTTACATTTCCTGAAAAAAATCACAGCCAGTCCAGGCTGCATGACCCTCATATCACATCACATCTAAATGCTGTACTCACCTAAGATCATTTCTTAAGACATAGTAGAAGGAAAGCTTCTATGTAACCATATTCCATGCTGGCTCTTGGAGTGGCTGGAAAAGCCACACTGGTGCAATCTACACATGTGGGTATCAAAGATGACAGGCCAATACCACTCCTTATAGCATTCAATAAAGATTTAAGTTTTACGCTGTCCCCAAGCTTTGCATAACTAAACTACCAGTGGCATGCTATAGAGGTCTCCTCCCAAAAAAACTAGTAAGGATTACCCAAACTATTTGGTGAGAAGTACTAGGTTTCTCTGCTTTTCTGACCTTTTCCTTAGTGTACAGGGTATTTGTCCTTAGACTTGGAAAAATCCCTTAATGGCATTGCAGACTGGCTAATCTGCTGGTAACTATGAAGCCAAAGACTTAGGTTAGGAAGAGGCTAGTCAGATCAGCTCCCAGAGTGGAAAGGAAGAGAGCAAATGTGCACTTCCCTCATTCCTTCCATCCTTAGAAAACCATGATAAACTTCAGTCAAGACAACCCCGGGACATGCAAGGAGCAAAATAAAGTTATAGAGAAAAGTCTTTGAAATAACAGCATCTTTTGGATTTTTGTTCACTGTTTCCCACACTGTCAGCTAAGACAAATTTATTTGCAATTTTATAATGAGCTGTAAAAACATTCACTCCAGTAGAAATGTCTTTTTTCAACGTAGCTTTTGTCATCTAGGAAACAGCTTAGCTCTTACACCTCTCTTTCACTGGAATAAGGTTATACAGACTGTGGGCTTTGGAATGGTGAATCCACAGTGCTAAAGATGGTGTAACACTCACAGTTAAAAGCAGAGAACTTGTTTGTCTCTAATTATTTCATGACCGTATCATATGCAGGTGCAAACTGATTGCTCAACTGAACAGAGGTTTATGGCCCAGCTAGCAACCATGGTAAATATGTTAAAATGTAGGCTAATTATTAGATTAGGGAATGTAGAATTATCCATAGAGTAAAACTATTACCCCATCATTATGCAAGTAGATATTGTACACTGCATTTCAGATTATTATCTCTTTGTTTTTGAAAGAAACAATTGTTCAGTCATTGGATCACAGCTAATCTCACAGTGAGTAACTAAGGGTGTATTCTGGCACAGTCAATCCACATGGTTATCTTTCAGCTCCTAAAGGGAACATACTAAAAAGATTGTGCTCCACGACTTCTTTATTTTTGTCCTAGGCTTGTTCCTCAAATTAGAAAGGAAATTTCACATATGAAATACTTCATGAAATACCAGGGAAGAGACTTGGATACATTCCTGGAGACAACGTGCTGAAATTCACTTCAGCTGTAAGCTACCAGACTCTTTCGCATGTAATCAAAGGGAGGCCCAGTGGGTTTATTAATAATTAATCCTTAGATATGTTTACAGGAGACACTATCATTGGTGTACTTACTGGATTTATCTCGTCTTCCTTTTGACAGTATGTCTGGCCATCAAATTTCTGTATAAAACATATTTCTGGAGAAGGAGTTCCTAGAAAAAAAAACAAACAAAAAATCTCCAGTAATTAAAGGTTTTATTGCCTTAATTTCTACATAACTTTCTGTAATTGCATACATTATCACATAAATCAGTAATTGAGCTACATGCATCAAAGCTTCTGATATGCAAGGGATTTAAGTGACCAAATTATCTCTCTCACTAGATTTTGAAATTACAATGAATGGAACAGAAATTAATAAAACCAGCCAGGGGGAAAGATTTATTTCACTTAGTGTTCTGGGACCCTCCTTGAGTTTGTATTGGAGATTAACTCTTTCCTCTTATTTTTTAAACTAACAACTGCAATTTTGATAAGCTGCCTGATCCATTTGACTAAAAGTATACTTGTACTCTTATATGGAGTAATTTCTTTAATGAATATACAAAGGAAGACCTTCTCTCTGGAAAAAAAAGGATAGAAGCCCTTAAGGTTAAACTCTTAAGTTTGAAAACTATGATGTTGATACCGACATTAGTAAAATACTAATCAAATTAATATTTGCATTATGTATCTCATCTCCAAATTGCTAATACACAAGTATGTACAAACCCATGAATAATTAAATTCTAATTCCAACTGAATACAACATGCGGCAGGTAGAAATCTATTACAGTTGCAAGGACAAAACCCCCTCAGACAAAAGCCTACTCCACAGACTGAAGAATGAGTCAAACAAACATTGCCAGGTCTTAATTCCAGTGGATAATCACACGTAAGTTCAAAATGGGACGATGTTTCTTTCCTCAGTCAAAACTATTAAACAACTATAAAAGGTTCAGCATCAGGAAAACATAGCCATTGGAAAAGTTTCTTCAGATTCCAATGAGCTTTAGGTAAGATTTATATTAACTCAGAGTATGCTGATAAAAAACGACAGTCCACTCAGATCTTCAAACTGGCAAAAAGACAAACAATAAAAAAATCTAGAAGAACACCATGTGTCACTTAAAGAATAGTCAGTCCAAAATATTGCTGAAATAAAACCTACAGTATGCAAGTCAAGTATATTATATAAAAATGCAAAGGAGGTACCAGTGAAACTATTATGTAACTAAGACATGCTTGCTCATGCAGCATGCGTTATGGGTATTATTATGGAAGATTTTAAGACTTTAAATGAGCATGCAATCATTTATGCTGAAAGTAATTTAATGATACACTTAAAATAATGCACTTAAATATACCTACCCAAACTTCATATGCTACAGAGAATGGATATATTAACAATATTAAAGGGTTTTTAAAAATACTATAAGCAACTATAGTTACATATAACTATTATGTGTATAGATTCCATTTATTTTATTCTGTTCAAACACATACATGTAAATAAAAAGGATATCCCTATATATAGTTCATACACTTCCCAAGACAGGGATCCTCAGTTATAGTACACAGAAAGAATAGAGAAGTCAAGAGAAAACCTAATTTTCAAATATTAAAAAAGTGCCGAAGAATCTTCTAAAATATGAGCTAAAATTATAGATGTAATAAAAGAGCACATACATTCCTAAGAATGAACTTCACGCAGCACTGAAGCATAAATAACATAGACTCAGGCAATATCTAAAGCAACAGTTTAAAGAAATAAACAAACTGAAAAAAAGAATCCATCCTACCTTTAGTAATACTCATCTCAGTGGTTAAAGCTATGTCCACATTAAGAAAAGCCAACCTTTGAAAAATAAATAAAATAAAAGGTCATTAAGCATTACAGTCCTATGAACTCAAAGGGCAGGTCAGAGTTTAAGTTCTCTTAAACCCTCAGTTTAAGAGAGGTGCCCATCCCAACCTCTGACACTGGGACACAACTGGGCAAGTGCTAACACCAACAGCAAAGGACCCCCAAACTGTAGGGATATATCTGATTTTCTGCATAGAAAATCACAGGTATTGAAGCACATCACTGCTTTATGTATTTCCAAGAAATGCCAGGCCACAAAGCCAGCACAAAGAGGTGCAGCCGCAGGTGTTTTCAATCCTTTGCCATGTCTTAAATGAGAGAAAATGGAATGAAAATGGTATGAAGTCAAGGTTGCAGGGAAACAGTATCAGCACCAACTGCATTTAACAGTGTTTATTTCCTCCGAGTTGGTTTCTGGGGCATTTCACTTCTGCGGACTGAAATGTTACTGAGGAGGGTCCAGAGGCACAAGCTCCGAGGCCATCAGCGGAGCTAAGAACCACTGAGTCTAAGGGTATACAAAACGGCTCTGAATACAGAAAGCGGGGGGAGAGGGGGAGGGGGGGAAGAAAAAAAAAAAAAAAGAAACAAAGAGGGCAAAACCCTCATCCCCGGAGCGGCCCCTCAGCCGCGGGCCCCTTGCTTTTCCCGCGGGCGCGCCACACCTGCCGCCGCCCTCGCACAGGCAGGTGCCGCTCAGAGCCATCTGCGTTACTACCTCCTCCTACAGAACTCCTCTTCCTCCACATCACTCTCCGTCACAGAGCCCTCCACGACGGTCTCGTCGCTGTCCGTGTCGGTGTCCCCCCCGCGCACCCGGCGCTCCACCGTGGGCTGGCCCCGGCGCTGTCCCGGCACCTCCTCAGGCGGCCACCGGTTGCACTCCGAGACGGCCGCCATCTTGTGGAGGCGCCTCGCTGCCCCTCAGGTGGCCACGGGCGCACGTCGTTCCCTAGAGCCGCAGAGCACTGACATACACCGTGCTCTGTGCGGTTAAAAAGGCTCACTTCTAGGCGTTTGTGCACTCCTGATGCTGATATCTCAAGAGTCAGAAATGCTTATTTGCCCAGAGAGTTATAGAGAACGAGGAGGGGGGTTGTGAAACAGGGTCTGGCCTTATCAGTGAGAGGCCCCATAGCCTCAAAGGAGGGACCCAGAATGAAGGACCACCTGGACTTTTATTCTGTAGTCTGGGGTCTTAGAATCATAGAATGATAAGGGGTTGGAATAGACCTTAAAGATCATCCAGTCCCAACCCCCAGTGGCAAGGACGATTAGCCCAGGTTGCTCAAGGCCTTATCTAGCCTTGCCTTGAACATTGCCAGTGCTGGGGCGTCCACAACCTCCCTGGGCAACCGGTTCCACTGTCTAATTCTTCCTAATATCTAACTAAATTTCTCCTCTTTCAATTTATGCCCATTACTCCTTGTCCTATTGCTACAGTTCCTGACTAAACGTTCCTGTTGACTTGTCGACTCCTGCTGTGTCTCTTGTCACCTCTTGTGTTTCTGGTCACCTTGCTGGCACCACAGGTCTCCATACCCTTTGTAAGGGAAGGGATCTGTGCCAGTTCATGGCCTCTTGAGTCTGAGTCCACTGTCAAAGGTTGCAACCACTCACTCATGGACCAGTGACTCAAGAAACCCACCAACTTGAAAGAAGAGAAAGTCTGAGCATGAGAAGCAAGAGAATCATTTAACCAAAATATGATAGACTACTAATTAATAAGCAAACGAGGTAACTTGTAGCCAATGAACTGTGACTTCTATGGTTTCTAAAATGTATATATAGTGTAAAATTTTGAGAAAACTCCACCTTGCACCCTGCACAGAATAAACAATGTCTCCTTTCTAAACTAGGCCCTGTATCTGTGTTTGGAGTCCCTACACTGGCAACACTTCCCTGGCCATGGTTAAGTAGCTAACTTCACCTGCTGTCCTGAGCACAATGTTCATGCGCTCATGAGTGGGAACATGTTTGAGATAACCAAATTATTAGTTGACAATACTTTGACAGTATTTGCAGTAGCACTCTTCAGTGATCGTCTGTGAATCACATTTTCCTGAGGCAGAGCTGTTCTGGCTCTGCTTTACCTGCCATCTGCTTGGCAGTGGGGCAGTCTGCTCCCATACCTCTGTCAGCACAAGGCTGGGCTGCAGGCAGGCCACCACAAAGAGTTACAGATGTGAGAACTTAATGTCAGCACGTGTGGTGTCACACAGACTGCAAACCCCAAATCACTGCAGTGACTCCTGCTGCCAGTGAACTTGATGATAAAATTAGCATTTTTAGTACTCTCCAAATAGCGTTCATGGAAAATGTGGAAAACAGAGCTAAGATACTAAAGGTCATCTTAAATTATATATAATTTGCACATAGTTTTTGAATCTTTATACAAATTGTTATTATGCTTTGGCTTAGTCATATCCGTATGCAATTATAGCAATTGCTGTGCATGTTATCAAGTGAGTCCAGAAATCTCACTGATAATACTTTACAATTTTCAGCTAACAGAGGTGAGATACTGAAGAAAACATGTTAAGAAAGAAGCTGTCAGGAAAGATGGATACACAGTAGTATTATTAAGATATTTAAGAATTCCACTGAAGATGAGAACAAAAAGGCCATCTACATGTTAAAAGACTGAGCTGGCATGAATGATTTCGTCATTGATAACTACTCTGGGTGGAGTTCTTAGGAAACCTTTTCAAAAAGCTTCGTTTTTTGAGGATCACGTTGATGCTTCACAGCACAGCACCATGTGGAGCTAGTAGATATATTTCCAAATGAGGTGCCATATGTAAGAAGCAGCTTCGGGAAAGCCAGAGTGTGGATCATCTGCTTCAAAACCACTTGGTTTGTATTTGAACGTGTTAGCCGGCAAGCTCAGACGCAGAAACACGTAACGGCAGCGCCAGCCTGGAGTGCTGTCTTGCAGCGATCATAGTGTCCCACCCGACTCGGTGCCCAAAAAGAATCACAGAATTGTTAGGGCTGTAAGGGACCTCTGGAGACGATCTAGTCCAACCCCCCTGCCAAGGCAGGGTCACGTAGAGCAGGTTACATAAGCATGCATCCAGGTGGGTCTTTGAGAGCCTCCCAATAATTCATGAACCAAAAAAACGCACTTCCTCTCTGGCCGAAAGACACAAATACAAATATATTGCCTTTTATTTTTTTCTTTCTCCCCGAACGTCAGGGGCACCGCGGCTTCCCACAAGCAGGAGCTGGGCATTTCTGCGCGGACTCTTAGTGCCTCAGCGCAGCGCGGTGCCCCGGGCGGTACCAGCGGCGCGGGGGTGTTCGGGCAGCACCGCGGTCCCAGAGCACGGCGAAGCACGGTACGGGCCCGAGAGCGCCGGCACCGCTCCACTGGCCATGCAAATGAGCCGCTACGGCCGCCCAATTAGAGGACGCGGAGTGGGGAGCGCGGCGGCCCATTGGTGGGCGGCCCATGGCGCGATGGCGTGTTCGCCGCTCCTGATGGCGCGTGGGGCCGCGCGCCGCTGGCCGGGCCGTTGCCGCGGCGACGCGGCGGGTGACGCGAGGCGGGCGGGGCGGGGCGCGCGCTCGCGATTGGCCGCGCGATCGGGCGATGGCGGAGCCGGCGTGTCCTTGCGCGGCGGGGCGGGGCGGCAGGGCCGGGAGGGGACAGCGGGTGGGAGGCAGTGAGCTGCCACTGCGGCTGGGGCGCGGCGGTGAGCGGGGACCGCGGCGCGGCGGTGAGCGGGGGACCGGCGGGGCCGCGAGCGCGGGGTCGGCACACGGGCGCGCCGTGCCGGCGGGCGGGCGGGCGGGCTGCGGTTGCGGGCCGAGAGCGGCCGGGTGGCGGCCGTTCGGGGCAGGGAGGGCACCGTCGCCATCTCCGCCCGTCGGGAGCGGCGGCCGCCCCGCCTGGGCGCCGCCCTGGGCGCTGTGTGGGGGTCCCGGGGCCGCCTTGGCGCCCGCGGGCTGCGGTGCTGAGCCCCCCCAACTCTCGCCCGGTAGCTGCAGCTCTGGGCCTCTGAGGGGCTGCCTTCCCCCGCTGTGAACGCCGAAAGCGGTCCCGGGCAGCGCTGCAAGGTCTGTGCCCTGTGTCTGCGGTTCAGGTGAGCTCCGCACAAATTCTCGTTCGGCTGCTTTTGCCGCTGGATTCCTGTAGCTGTTGCTGAGTCAGCCCGCAACAAATGGGAAATTTGTGCTGATCTCATTGATGGTGTTGCAGAGGACTACTCTGAGCTTAGAGCTGGGTGACAAACCTTGGGTATTTAACAGACTAGTACAGTTACGTGATAGGTAATTGCTCTGAAGCATTACATACGACTGATCTAGTTTGCTTTTTACACTGGTTTGGAGGAGTTGCAGCTGGGTTTTGTTTGTATTTTGTGTTCTGTTTTGATTTCCCACGTCGAAAACAAAGGCAAGCGGGATTTATAAAGCACCCTTTTTGTACCACCATTTTGAAACTTAGCAGAATTACTTCAGTGTTAACTTTTGGGTTTATATTTAACGTTATGTCTTGCTAATTTCAAGCTATGAGTCAATGTAACTGTATAAATATTTCAAACAGAAATATGAGCTCATGTTATGCATTGACTTTTTTTTTTACGCCACTGTAATGCAGAATCAGTGTGTGTAATCATGAATATTTTCAAGAAAAGTCAACTGCATAGCAAAAACCACCATGTGCTTCAGGCAGGTTAAACTAACATGAAAGCTTTAAAGAATCCTTTTAGGTTAGGAGTTAGTATCATTCAGTTAACCCCAAGATCAGCCATGAGGCATCCTCTATTTCATAGCAGCAGTTAATAAAAAAACTAAGATATTATGGATAATTGTTTTCACAAATTAATTTATGCACTTTTTTCCTCTAATTGATTTATGTGAAGCCATTTTACTGTTTTTGTGTAGAAATGTGACAAATAATTTCTGAAAAAAGATTTTGAAATCTTTCTAGCCCTACTAGTTTATTTATTTTTTTCATGGCCAGATAATCATTCCAACTCTCAGAATTAGTTGTATTAGCTGTACTACTAGTACAACTCTGTAAAAGTCATGTAGTAACTACTAGTTCTGATTTTCCTGAAACAGAATGATATTCAAAAGTATTTATATTTTCAAAGAATGTTGTTTTGCCTTTCCTATTTTTTGTGTTGTTTTGAAATATTCAGCACTGAGGTATTTCTCTGGTAATGTTTTTCTAATTAAAAAATACCTTCCATTCTGCTGAGGAAAAATGATACCACTTTGGTACGGCTTGGTGGCAACATAAATTTACAAACCAGAATGTAGATTATGCTATAGAGGGAAAAAGAAGGGTTAACTACTTTATAAAGGAGATGTTTGCTTTTGGTTTTTAATTTTATTCTTAAGAAGCTTTCTGTCAGGAAATGAAATAGTTTGTTCATAAAGAAGGCAGTCCTCTCAATCGTTTTCTGCACTTGGTTCCATGAAGCACAAATGTCTGTCCACACCTTCCCTGTGGAAGGATAAAGAGAAATAGATCAGTGCTGTTGGTGCTCATGTGATTGAGATCAGCGCTGGTAGGAAACCAAGATGATTCTGGTGTCTTCAGGAACACTTAATCAGATAGTTTTGCCTTGTTATTTTCTTCATTGAATGGCAGCTTCATTTTTGATGTCTGAGCAAAATAAATAATACCAGAAGCCCAATGGATGGATTGTTACTTTTAAAGCAATGCAAAGGGATTTTTTTTAATCCACTTTGAAGTGGCAGTGTGTACAGCTCTCAGTCTTCTATGGAAATCTTTACAGTGCTAAGTTGGTACATGTAAATACTGAATTATAGATTGTCTCTGTTAACCAGACTACTATTAAGCATTTTTTTAACTTTATAATGCAGTTTTGTAAGGTGTTGTTTTTGTGTAATGAGAAAAGGAAACTCCAGTTATTAATGCATTTAAGAGAGAATGTTACCACATTTTGTTTCCT